TGAGTCTTTATCTCAGCTCTCAGGAGGCAGAGGCAGGAGGTCTCCAGTAAGTTGAAGATCAGCCTGGTCTACATATTGAGTTCTAGGATAGCCAGGATGACATAGAGACACTCTCAAAAAACAAAAGCAGCCTCCCCCCAAAAGTTAAAAAACAGCAATAGCAGCCACAAAACAAACCCCACTCTCAACATGTAGTACACTGTAGGTCATCTAAATGTGCATTTGCTCTTTTTTTTGGTATTGAGTGTTTCCAAATCACCAAAAAGTAGAAATAATGATGTATAAGACATTCATAGATCCTTTATCTGTACTTACCTGTTCTTAACATTTTGCCTCATTTTACATTGACTTTTTTGGTTTTAATTGTGTGTGTGTGTGTGTGTGTGTGTGTGTGCGCGCGCGCGCACATGTATGTGCATGGACATCACACAGTGTGTGTCAGGGTCAGAGGACAGCTTTGTAGAGTTGGTTCTCTCCTTCCAGGAATGGACCTCAAGTTGACAGGCTTGACAGGGAGTGCCTTTCCCTGCTGAGCCATTTGGCCGGTGCTGCTTTGTTTCCTGTTGCATTGCTGGGGGGTCGGAGCCCAGCTTCGTGTTTGTCACAGCTTGCTCTCCTGGCCTCCGTCATGTGTAGGTGGGCACGTACCGGGGCTGACCTCTGTTACCCATAGCTAGGTGCACACGGGCTTGCGGCTCGCAGGCATTTATCCCTTACCCTGGAGAGTTTGGTCTTCCATTTTTGTGTGCATGTAGGATATGTATAAGTACGTGTGTACATTCATGTGTAAGTACACTGTGTGCACTTGCGCGTGAAAGCCAGAGGTCAGCAGCGGGTGTCATTCCTCAGGATTGTTCTGGAGATAGGGTCCCTTGCTGCGGGCAAGCCAACAAGTTCTAGAATCCCTGTTTCTACCTTCCGGCTCTGGGATGACAGGCACATGCCACCCGAACTCAGATTTATGTGAGTGTTTGCCACCAAACTCGGATCCTCACAGCAAACACTTTACACACCAAGCTCTCGCTTCTGTCCTCCTTTGTTTATTTGTTTGGTTGATTTTGGTTTAGTTTTTTGAGACAAGTTGACCTCGGAACTCAGAGCTCAACCTGCCGCTGCCTCCTGAGTGCTGGGATTAAAGGTTATTTTTTTAATTAATTTATTTATTTTAAGGCAAGCTCTCACCGTGTAGCCCAGCCTGGCTTCAGATGTGTCATCTCTTCCCCCATCTCTTGCCACCACAAAGAGGGGCATCCTATTGTACTTTCCCTTTGTACTTTGTGTACCATAGTAGCAGTCCCCTAGGCTGAAACCCTAGGCTGCGTAGAAACTTCCTGGATGAAGGGAGAGGGCAATAAGTGGGCAGGTGCATGGAAATAGATGTGAGAAAAGGAGACAGACATGGTGCTTGGAAGCCAGCAAATGCAGTGAGCTCCGTGACTTCTGAAAGATCACACAGCAAGTTGGTAAGCGGGCCAGGGCCAGGACAGCCCAAGACAGTGGTCCTGCACGCCTTCCTAGAGCACCTTGGCCGGAAGTTCAAGGCCCCACAAAGGACCTTCTTTGTGCCTTCTCCCCGGTGAGTTGGAAGGTGGCTTGCAGTAAGTGGCCTCTTGAAGCTACTCTGGCGATCGGCCTCAGACCAGAAGGCAAGCCCAGCCAGGATACTGCAGCTGCTCAGCCATCCTGGCTCGGTGACCTCACCATGATTGACAGTGAGATATGCAGAGATACAGGTGCTGACAGTCTGGTGAGATATGCAGAGATACAGGTGCTAAGGGGACAGGGGGGTGGAAGGCAACCCCAGGTGTCACAGCAGCCCAGGAGTTGCTGGTTTCTCACCTAGCTGTTGTATGCGTGAAAAAGCAGGGTCCTAAAAGGCACTGCTGTGGAGTTAAGAGGGAGTGACTCTCCCAGATCTGGTGGCCCGAGCAGCCTGCCCCCTAGGCAGCACCCCCTGACCACTGCTGTCTTGTCCCATCATCCTCTTAATGCGTGCTTGCCCCTCATGGGTGCTCTTTGCCCTGTCCACCCCCAGACCAGGAAGTCCCAGATACACAGCAGTTCCTGAGGGTATAATGTGAAATGCAGAAGGCAGGAGCCACCAGGAGGGCAGGCAGTACTGGCCAAGGAGCTCAGGAGTCTGACTGAAGCAGGACGTGAAATCTCACTGGAGCTCTGACCTCAGGCAAGGTCTCATAGTACTCTGGGCTTCACTTGGGGGCCTCATCTGTAAAATGGGGCTAGTAATAATAGCCCGTCTGTCTCTTAGAGTCATTAGGATTGGGTGCGTTGTGAAGTGCCAAGGATAAGGCCTGACACTGAGTAAGTACTCAGAAAACAGGGCCTGTGATTATTTTTATTATTGTCATCAAGGCAGCAGGGAGGTGGCGCGGCAGCTGCAGGCCAGGAAGGAGTGTTTGCAAACTGACAGCTGGAAGGGTGACTAACTGTGCCCAGCCTCCGCTCCCTCCTGTGGTGGCAGCAGTGAGTTTTGAATTTGGGGAGGGAGGAGGAGGTGTGGAGAGCTGTGTGCTAATAAGTTCTCTATAGCAGGACCCTAAGTTTGGGGCTCAGCCAACCTCAGTGAGACCCTAGCTTAGGCTGTGTGATCTTGGGTTAACCTCTTGGACCTTGGTTTCCACTTCCATAAAACAGGGTAGGAAGGCTCACAACTCTTCCACAGAACGCAGTCCACAGGGCCCAGAAGGTGGTTTGCATTCATGCTGGCTCAACCATGGAAATGGGGTGTGAGGGGATGGTTCCTATTACTCTCTCCCTGGGCCTCAGGGCCCAGTCTGGACAACAGGCCTGATGGCCTTGCTTGCCTCTTGGTGGAAGGACTATTTGTTCTGGAGGAGACAGGAAGCATAGCAGACACTTCCAACTCTGGGTTCTCATCCATTCCTCCCACAGCCTCCTTGCAGGGGTTCACTGTGCTACCTTTTAGCTGAGGGGATTTTAGGCGCAAAGGGTTCGTTCTTTCTCTCCAAGTTGGCATGTTGATAAAGCCAGGTTCAAAGCCCCAGTCTGATTAGAGCTGAGAGTCCAGCTTGGGAGTGCTGGTCAGTCTCTCCTGTACCCTCCTTCTGGCGGACTCTAGGAGCACTGCTCCCTGAAGAAGGTCCCCGGGCTTAATACCCTCAGGGTCCAACCATAGCTCTTCACAGTGCCGTGGGAAACTTCTTGCCACCCTGCAAGATTCATGCCAGGGCCTCTGGAACACTTCTCACACGGCAGACAGACAAGGGTGCTCAGGAGAGGCTCAGCATGTCAAGGGTCATAGAGCCCCAGAGGGGCAATTGGCTCTGTCTGCCTTACCAGCTTCCACCCAGCCCAGTTCTTTTTTTATGTGTGTGTAGTGTGTATAGTGTGCATTGGTGTTTTGTGTGCATGTCTGTGTGAGGGTGTCAGATCCCCTAGAACTGGAGTTACAGACAGTTTGTGCTGCCATGTGGGTCCTGGGAATTGAACCCGGGTCCTCTGGAAGAACAGCCAGTGCTCTTAACCACTGAGCTAGCTCTCCAGCTCTCCAGGCCAGTTCTTGAGGCTGTCCTACCTTCTAGTCCAGCGCCTCGGCTCAGCTCAACTAATGTGTCAAGCGTCACTATGTCACTTTTTCTGACCCATCCTCTTTTAGAACAAGGTCTTAAGCATATAGCTCAAGCTGGCCTCCAACTGGCCATCTCTTGTCCTGGAGAGATGCCCCTCTGCCTTTCTGACAAATATCTTTTTATATCAAATTTTATTTGCTTGACTGCTCACGAATTTAAAACACACAGATATGCACTTTGTGCTAGGCTTTGAACCCAGAGCCATAAATAAGCATTCTAGGCAGCTTCTGTCCATCCTCCACCTTTTGAACTGTCCAGGGACCAGCTCCCGTGCTTCCTGCATATGTGTGAACATGCAGGCATGCGTGCACACGAACCTATCCCAGCACTTACACTGAAGTTCTCCAGCGGCGATGTACATGAGCCGTACATGCAATGGCTAGGCCTCACCTGTCCCCTCTCGGTGGGTCTGTCATTGAACCGTGTGACCAAAGAAGGGCCTCGGCTCTGTTTCTCACCAGAAAGGGAACAGTTGCCCCAGCCCCTCTGCCATCTTCCTGAGGTTGTCTGAGGCCTGAGGCTGTATTTGGACTGGTGGTGCTGACAGGCTTGCTGCTCCAGGGGAGTGTTCTGGGTGTTGCCTTTACTGAAGTGCGGAGGCTCTCAGGGTACAGCCAGCGAGCCGCTACAGAACAGACCCTCTGCTGCAAGGGTCTCAGTCCCTGGAGCACCTGGAGTCAGTCCCCTCACACCATATCAAGCTCTTCCACCCTCACAAGCCTGAGTTGGATTGACTAGATTCTGAACTGCTTTCCTGAGCCTGGCTCCTCGGTTGAGAGTCCAGGGCTGATGAGCGGCTGAAGAGGGTCACGCCACTGCTGTGTGGCGTTCCCTTTTGTACTTCTCCCTGCTCTGTCTACCTCATTTTCCACACCCAGGCAGTTGCTGGTCCGAAACTTACTACAAAGCCCAGCACAGGAGAGCACCTGTCTGTCTCCTGGCAGACACGGGCTGTTTTCTCTTGGGTATATACAGACAGGGAAGCGTAGACATTTGTCTCTGCAGAGGCCTCTTGGGCAAGCTTTTGTAGAACCTGTGAACTTGTCCAGAGTACAAGTGACTTTGCCAACCATACAGCACCTGCCCAATTTCAGCATTTCCCTGGACTCCCTTACCTGTCAACCCCCTAGGTCTCATTGGTCCTCTTGGTCTCTCTATGGGACCTGTAAGGCCCCCCAGAGACATAGGGTTGATGGCAGCCTCCCCTGGGACTCTTAAGTCTCTGTGCTTGTACCTGAGGCTGGACACAGTAGCCCTGGGTCCATGTCCCAAATCCCAGAAGCCTTGGCACCGTGGCTTGTACTCCTTTGAAGAAGATGGCGATCACACTGAGTGGGCGGGGGTCATCATCTCTTCTCACCCTTCCTCAGCTTGACTCTTCTCCCACAGCTCTAATGGTACCAAGTAACGGATCGGCCTTCCTGTAGCACGGGGACGCCAGATCTAAGAAGATGTCAGCAATACAGGTACCATGGGGTCGTGGTGGGGACAGATAAAGCAGTCAGTCCCAGATCCCACCATCTCCAGGCAGGACAAAGGAGCAGCCTGTTCCCGTGCCCAACCCTCCACCCCTGTCGAGAGTTTGAGTGAAGTTAACATTAAGTCCAGTGTGCTCTATTGGGCACAGGACCCCAGACAGGGCTCTGACAGGTCTGAGCTGGAAGGGACTCAGAAGTCTCTGGAGGAGGGTGTACCTACCCCAGGTTCATGGGAGTCAGCTAAGATGCTTTGGTCTCAAGGGCATTCGGGCAGGCGGATAGAGAAGGGCCCTAGGCTGCACCCACACACCTGTCCCTTCCCCTGTAGGCCGCCTGGCCATCCGGTACAGAATGTATTGCCAAGTACAACTTCCATGGCACTGCTGAGCAAGACCTTCCCTTCTGCAAAGGAGATGTGCTCACCATTGTGGCCGTCACCAAGGTACTTGGGGACCTTTATGCCTGTCCCATTCTCTCACCTGTGGGGCTCCTTCTGGCTTTGGCTTCCCTGCAGAGGGAGGCAGACCTGAGGGCGTGTCTGTGTTGTCCTCTCTCCAGGACCCCAACTGGTACAAAGCTAAGAACAAAGTGGGCCGTGAGGGCATCATCCCAGCCAACTATGTCCAGAAGCGTGAGGGCGTGAAGGCAGGCACCAAGCTCAGCCTCATGCCGTGAGTACCAGGAGGAGGGAGGGCTAGAGGCTCCTGGCTTAGAGAAAAGAGGGGAAATGGTTGTGGTCCTCCTGGAAAAGCATCAGAGGAAAACAGCCCCAAGCAAGGAGCTGTGTAGGTGAGGGCATTCTGGGAATGGGACCAGAGGTTGGACATAACAGACCCGGCAGAAGGAAAAAGGGGCAAGGAGAAAATGATGGCCTCATATGCCTGGCTGGCAAGAGGCACCCAGGTCTGTGCCGTTGTGACCCCCAGCCTTGCCACCCTCCAGCTGGTTCCATGGCAAGATCACGAGGGAGCAGGCGGAGCGGCTTCTCTACCCACCGGAGACAGGCCTGTTCCTGGTGCGAGAGAGCACCAATTACCCCGGGGACTACACGCTGTGTGTGAGCTGTGAAGGCAAGGTGGAACACTACCGCATCATGTACCACGCGAGCAAGCTGAGCATCGATGAGGAGGTGTACTTCGAGAACCTCATGCAGCTGGTGGAGGTGAGTCAGGGTGCGTGCCCGGGGTAACCCACCCTTCCCAGTCTCACCCTCCTGAGCTTGCCTGGCTGAGCCACCTGGACATTTGACAGCTTCTTTGGGTCTTTGGTTCCTTCCACCTCAGTGGAACACCCACCTGCTATGTGCCGAGGCTTAGCTCTGTCCCCAGAGTGCCCCAGTGAGGCCCCACAGATAGGGTGGCACCCCATTTTCTAGATAAGGACACAAAGGTTCGGAGCAGCGAAGGTCCCCTTATCTAGGCATCGGAGGCGCCACCACTGGACTTTTGAATCTGTCTGATCCAGAACTCACTTCCTCCGGCTCTCAGAACCTCTTGTCCGGATGTGTGCCTTCGCCATCAGAGTCCTTGAAGCCCAGAGGTCCTGGCCACTTCTAACACCAGCTCTGCCAGCTCTTGCCAGGCCATACCTGGTATCAGATACCTGTAGGTTCCCTCCGAGCTCACTCCCATCTCTGGCTTGGCCCTGAGTACACCTGGCTAGCAGCTGGTATAGGGAGCAGGCCAGGCTTTGCTTTCTACTTTGAAGATGCAGGTGAGGCCCAAAGAAGTAGTGAGAATTGTGAGTCCGGTAGCTGAGTGTGGGTGGGAAATGGACAGGCATCCCCACCTTTTTTGAAATGAGGAACCCTCTCCATACAAAGCTGCTCAAAGCTGCGTGGGCTGGCCTCTGCTGCCCTCTGGTGGTCAGACATGAACAGTGTGTGAGTCATTGAAAAGGGGGTGTCCCAGTGGGGGTGCTTCTAAGGGCTTGCCCTCTCTCTACAGCACTACACCACAGATGCCGATGGACTCTGCACTCGCCTCATCAAACCAAAGGTCATGGAGGGCACAGTGGCAGCCCAGGACGAATTCTACCGCAGTGAGTGCATGCTACACCCAGACCTCCCGCTCGCCCACTTCCCCCACCCAGACCTCTGCCCTGCCCTAGAGGTTGGAAACCTCAGACACCCCTACACCTAAAGCAGTCTAGGCTGTGCCTGTCACCTCAAGTGGCTCCAGTCTGCCTTTCACCTCACTGACACACTGCCTCCCTGCCCCAGGTGGCTGGGCGCTGAACATGAAGGAACTGAAGCTGCTACAGACGATCGGGAAGGGGGAGTTTGGAGGTGAGTTAAGGGAACTCCCGGGAGGGCTGAGACGCTCAGGGAGTCCAGGAAACAGCCCCTGCTTGTCCCCCCAGATGTGATGCTGGGGGATTACCGAGGCAACAAAGTTGCAGTCAAGTGCATTAAGAATGACGCCACTGCCCAGGCCTTCCTGGCTGAAGCTTCTGTCATGACGTAAGTTGGGACAGGAATAAGGGCAGGTTGCCTGGGTGGAGCCGGGGAGGTGGGCCGAACCCTTATTCACCTTGTCCTGCCACAGGCAACTTCGGCACAGCAACCTGGTCCAGCTGCTGGGTGTGATTGTGGAGGAGAAGGGTGGACTGTATATCGTCACAGAGTACATGGCCAAGGTGGGTGCTCCTCGGCACACCATGGCCCTCCCATGGCCCCTCCACTCTGCCCCAGCCGAGCTTTGAAGTTGCCAGCCCTGGCCAGTCATTTATTGACTGACTTTAAACAAGTTATGCCACCTTTCCAAATCCCGGTTTCCTCATCCGTAAGCCCCCCTCAGATATTGTGGGGGTTATGAGATTATGAATATGTTGAGCCTGGTATCCCAGGTGTTTTCGGTCCTTCCCTGTTCACCCCCCACCCCTTTCTGTCCTGCTCTCAGGGGAGTTTGGTGGACTATCTTCGATCACGTGGTCGTTCGGTGCTAGGTGGAGACTGTCTCCTCAAATTCTCACTGTGAGTGATGCAGCTTGGGGTGGGGGTAGGGACCTGAAGGAGACCCCTGCGCTGCTGTGGGAGCCCCAGTCTGAGGGCCATGTGGCTGTCATGCCCTCAGAGACGTCTGCGAGGCCATGGAATATCTGGAGGGCAACAATTTCGTGCACCGGGACTTGGCTGCCCGGAACGTGCTGGTGTCTGAGGACAACGTGGCCAAAGTCAGTGACTTTGGCCTCACCAAGGAAGCGTCCAGCACTCAGGACACAGGCAAACTGCCGGTCAAGTGGACAGCTCCTGAAGCCTTGAGAGAGAAGGTGAGCAAGGGTCCTGGAGTCTCTCACACATGCAGGCACTCGTGTGCGCAAGAGCGCAAACACGCACCAACGCCAACCTTACTAGGATCTGATGCTAATTCTCTTACACACATGGCAGAAATTTTCCACCAAGTCCGATGTGTGGAGTTTCGGAATCCTTCTCTGGGAAATCTATTCCTTTGGGCGAGTGCCTTACCCAAGAATTGTGAGTCTGGGTCTGGGAGCCATGTACGGCTGGGGCTGAGGGCACGGTGGCAAGAGCAGCATCCCCGGGAGCTGCCTCCCTAGCTGGAGCCTAGTACATTGGGTCTGTCCTGAGTAGCCTCCAGGCCATTCCCGGACCTGAGCCTGAGGCGGGGCTGAAGGCACTCCCTAGGGAGGGATGTCTGGGTTGGGCTCCCTTCTGTGGTAAGGCACTGAACTCACATGTCACCTGCTCTCAGCCCCTGAAGGACGTCGTCCCTCGGGTGGAAAAGGGCTATAAGATGGATGCCCCGGATGGCTGCCCGCCCGCAGTCTACGAGGTCATGAAGAACTGCTGGCACCTGGATGCTGCCACGCGGCCCACCTTCCTGCAGCTCCGAGAGCAGCTGGAGCACATCAAAACCCATGAGCTGCACCTGTGACCTCTGCCTCCGCCTAGGCCACAGGCCTGCAGGGTCAGGGCCTAGAAGATCTGGGAGCCGGCGCCCTGCGGCTCACTGGCCTGAACTTGAACTGAGCCCCAGCGGGCTGGTAGGCCTCTTGCCTCTGACCTGCCTGTCCCTTCTGGCCCCCCAGGGACCCCACCTAGTCCTGGCATCTTCTCTCATGGACCCACGTGTAGGGCTTGGGGCTCCCACTGAAGGGGCTAAGAAGGGAGGAGGCCCAGCAGCAGGAGGCAGCGCCCCTGTGGTCGGCCTTCTCTTGGCCTCACATCATTCGCCTTCTTAGAGTTTTATTCCTTTCCTTTTTTGAGATTTTTTTTCGTGTGTTTATTTTTTATTATTTTTCAACATAAGGAGAAAGAAAGTACCCAGCAAATGGGCATTTTACAAGAAGTACGAATCTTATTTTTCCTGTCCTGCCCCTGGGGGTGGGAGGGACCAGCCTCTCTAGGGACCCGTCACCCCAGCCTGTTCCCCATCCCGTGTTCCATGTCCAGTGTTGCCTCGGTCGCCTATGTTTGCGCTTGACCATGTTGCACTGTTTGCATGTGCCCGAGGCAGGCGTCTGTCAGGGGCTTGGATTTCATGTGCTGTGGCCGCTCACTTTACCGCCTTGTGAGATGGAATCCTAATAAACCACTCCATGAGGACACCGCCACCCAGCCTCGGCGCTTCCTCCGCCGAGCCTGCCTGTCTGCCCCGTCGTCTTCCCATGCCATCTTGTCCATCCCTCTGTCTCTGTGAGTGGGGCTGAGAGGAAAGCATGGCCAGAAGATGTAGCCGCCTCTTTGTGTCAGCTGCACGAGCCAGTGTCCTGTGTCTGCCCATGGGGAGTGCTCACCGCCTGTCCATTCCTGCCAGCTATCACCTGAGCCCAGCACCTGGGCTGCCTTGGGCTCTGGGACCAATCCATGGGGTGCCTGGGCATTCTGGCTGCTTCTCCTGTGTGTTGTCCAGGTCTGAAGCTCAAAGAATTGAAGTCCAGGCCTGGCCAGATGGGATGTGGCCCTGGGGCCCAGACAAACATGCCCCGGATGATTCTGACCGCAGGGGTGCTGGGAAGGGGAGCCTCTTGTAGTTCCCACGTTTCTCCAGCTTGTGACAGCTTTGCTGCCCCCACCTCTCCTGTGTGCCAAGCCCTGTGCCTTCCTGGGCTTTGCATGGAGTAAGGCACCTTTTGCCTGCTCCAACTAGGGTACACACATGGAGAATGAGGACCAGTCATGGTCTTTTCTCCCCTCAGGGTATCCAAGGGTGGTAGAACCCCAATGGGTAGGAGAGACTGGATTCATCTGAGATGAATGGGGAGGTCCCCTTGTCCTGTCATGGTTTTGGGTCTCCTCCATCATCCAGGACTTAACTAAGACCCAGGAGTTCTGGCTTGAAGCTCATCTTAAGTCTACCTCGCCCCGGCCCACTGTGCTCCAGTCCCTCCCACTGCAATGACTTCCCCATCAAGCCACCCTCTGTGCATACTTCAGGCTAATTTTGTGAAAAGGCAGAGACCAGTCATTTAGCTACAGACTTCAAATACGTGCTGTGTGTAGACTGTGCTGGATGATTCAGCCAGTGAACAGAGCAGACTGGAATTCATGGTTGAGAGGACGGTCACATGCCAAGACAGGCTCTTCTGTGAAGGAACACCCAACACCACAGTGTTGTCTGTAGATCAAGAAGCTGCATTCGTGCTGAGTTCAGGATGAGTGCAAACATGGGTGTGGCTGATACCCTCTACCCACCCACCCAGGAAGAGGCCAACCAAGGCAGGGAAGCTTGTCCAGGAGCTCTGAAGACAATTCTTTACAGATGGACAGAACTGGGAGATAGGAAGTGGGCCTGGGGAGGGAAGGTTGCAGCCTGCATGTGGTTTTTATCAAGCCAAGAGCTGTTGGAACCCAGGGACTGGTTTGAGGTGGCAGAGATACGATCACCCTGGTAGGGAAGTGTGAGGGAATAGAATAAGGATGATGGTGGTGGTAGATGAATTCCAGGGAGACCTAAGGAGTAACAGAGCTTAGGAGTGGGGTCAGCACACTCCACAGTGAAAGAAAGGGAGGAGCTGGACACCTGACCTGCCTGCTGGGTGGGTGTGAGGAACGTGAGAGCTGACCACCTGCCCATTGGAAGGACCAGAAGAGACCACAGGTTCTGCTGAGGGCGTACAACCTTGTGTGCTTTGAAACTGTCAAGAGGTAGGAAACTGAAGAAACCCAGGCTAGAGAAGGAAATTGAGTTGTCGGTGAGTGGATTGAACGTGAAGGATGGGTCCAAATGGGAGAAAAGGGCATACATAGAACAAAGCCTGAGAGAGGCTTAGAGCAGGGCAGGTTCACACACCAGCAAACCCAGTGGAGGCAGGCAGATTATGAGTTAGAGAACAAAGTGGGCTGTTTACTGAGAATCTGTCTTTAAAAATTAAAAATTGCCTACACAAAGCATAGAGGAGGAGAAGCCGGAGTTTGGCAGGAGCAGGTAGGCAGTGCCACTGAGGCCCATGGAGAGGCCTGCCGCTGGGTCCTGGCCCACTGAAGACTTGGAGATGAAACTGACGCACTTGTTGGTTTTCAAACCTGGCCTGAGGAAACCGGCCTAAAGAGCGTGTGTGTGGCCAGGCCCATTCCGGGAAAATGTATCCGTGACTGCAAGCAGCGAGAATGGGAACAGAGGGAGTGGGAGTCAGAGGCTTGAGCAAATTCGACTGTCTGAGGGAAGGACGTTGACCCCTGGGTCATGTTCAAGTCCTGAGGGGAAAGCAAACCACTGAGGAGGCATGGTCGGGCTGGTGGGAGAGCCTTTCTTAGAGTTGGTCTCTCTGAAACTGCAGTGGAGGGCGTCTCGCTCACTGGAGCCCTGGTGAATGTTTAATGAGCAAATTGAAACCAGATGTACACAGCTGTAACCTCAGCATTTCTGGGTTGAGGGGGCAGGCAGGCCACTTTGGCTACATACAGAGTTCTGGGCCATCCAAGGCTACAAAGTGAGAACCTGTTTTAGAAAAAGAAAATGAGGATAGGGAGTAGGTGGGAGCTGATCTTTAGTAGTTATTGATATCTAAATCAAATATTGTCTGTCTGGTTTCAGGCTACCACCTGGCTTCATTGACGACTGAGCTAGTGGGGATCTTAACCCCTGACTCTCACTGGCTGCCCGCAGCCATGTCCTGTTTAGAAGCCAGCAATAGAGCCTTGTGGAGGAACAGGCCCAGCTCCCAGGGCCCTGAGTCAAAGCAGACATGGGTAGCTGAGCCCGCCTTATCCTGTCCCCTGCCTCTAGCTTCCATCTCTTCATTTCATTTCCCTTCTCCTTTCTGTTTTTATTTTTTTGAAATGATTTTTGTATCTGGAAAAAGTGCTGGAGATTGAACCCAGAACCTTACAAATTTGAGGCAAAGACTCCAACAATGGTAGAAACAGCTGTAACCCACCAGCCCAGCGTTTCCTTTTTTCTTTTTCAGACAGAGCTCCACGTAGCCCCAGCTGGCTTGTAATCATTGTACAGCTGGGAATGAACTTACACTGCTGAGTCTGCTATCTCCATTTCCCAGGTGCCCGTGACTGCAGTACTGGGTCTCAACCCCAGGGCTTTGGGCATGTGAGGCAAGCACTCTGCAGCCTGTGCCAGCCTTGCTTTTACTTCCTGTTTATGCTGTTTCTCCTGTCCTCCAGCCATCCGTGTGTCTGTTGGGTTGTTGTAAATGAGCATGACATAATTCTTAACCTAGAGAGTACCCCTAACATTGTGGACAGATGGAGGAACCCTCTCAGGGCTCAGCTTGGTAGCCAGAAGTCCTTTGGGGTGTCACCTTCTGCCAGTAGCCAGCCAACAAAGCAGAGGCAGCAGGATGTGCCACTTTCCACACACTCAGTAAAAGGGGCAGGGATGGAGTGTACGCAGGCGTCCCTTGTCAAGAGAAGGCTACATGGGGAGCAGAGGTGGTGAGTTCCTAAGAATGAGAAGGTTCCTGAGAAGGCAGGACCCAGACCTCACATGCTTTAGCAGACCCAAGGTGGAGTCCAATTTGAAGCAACTATGACCAGGAGCCACCATTGGGCAGTGCAGAGGAGTAAGGGGAAGATTGGAAATTTAGAAAGGAGTTCTGGGCCAGGTGGTGGTGACATATGCCTTTAATCCCAATACTCTGGAAGCAGGAGCAGGCAGATCTCTGAGTTCAAGGCCAGCCTGAATTACACAGTGAGTTCCAGGATAGCCAGGGCTATACAGAGTAACCCTGTCTCAAAAAAGCAAAAAGGAAAGAAAAGAAAAAGAAAGGCATCCTGGCCTGAAGCAAGTTCAGAAAGGGGACCAGGAGTTCTGGGGAAGCTGCTGACAACAGCGTGGTGGGAGGCGATGGGTGGAACTCAGGCTGGACAAGCAGGTGGAGCAGAGAGGAAGGTGAGCTCAGCCGCTGTTTAGCTGAACTCAGGAGCACTTCCTGTGTACCAGGCCCTGGTCTAAGCACTTTACATATATCATCATGTAATCCTCTAGACACCTCTTGTAGCCACATGCTATATATTTGATATACTATGCCATATATGACTATCACTATATTTACCTGTAGTACAGTCCATTGCAGTTGAGAAAACTGCTCAGAAAGATTGAGACACGAGGTTACAGGCTCAAAGTGACAAGAGCTCATTTAAAAGCTGGTGATGAAAGGGGGGGCAAAGCTGGCAGGAGTGGTGTGGACATAAGGACACCTTCTGGCCCTTGGGCCAGGAAGCCCTGAAGCCTGAAGGAAGCTGGGAGGTACTGGGGAAGAGAAGTTCCATTTGAACAGGATGTCAGGAGCTTGGAGACAGCTACTTAGAGCCGTTCTTTGCAGAGACATTTGTTCCTGTAGCTCCTGGGAGAGACTGGGCTGGAAGGGCTTTGTGGTAGGAACGAAGGGCAGAGATGAGCCGTATTAGGGGATCAGGTGGAGACTGAGAAAGGGAGAAGCCTGAGGACCCTAGCTTAAGAGGCTGGAAGGGACGATGCTGATAAAGTGATGTGGAGAACAGAGGGGTGGGGAACAGCAGATGAGCTCAGCAGAGGGAGATTTATTATTTATTCTATTTTTTTTTTCAACACAGGGTTTCTCTGTGTAGTCTTGGCTATCCTGGACTCACTTTGTCGACCAGGCTAGCCTTGAACTCACAGAGATCCTCCTGTCTCTGCCTCACCGAGTAGTAGGATTACAGGTGTGTACCACCACACCTGGCCAAAGGGAGATTTTTGATGAAGGTGAAGAAAGCAAGACAGTGCTGCATGGAGGTTGTGTGCAAAGCGTTCCCCAGACCGAAGGACCTTGTGTTGTGTGGTATGAACAAATATCTAATTGGTGCCAGTAGAAAACTAAAATAAGGATACTGCCATAGTAGAACTTGGTGAACTAACGAGTTTCCTGGGGTTACTTTCAGGTAAGGAGTCATTACAGAAGGAAGAACGACTTAGAGACAGCTGTGTCATACATGGATGATGGCTCATGAAAGTGCCTCCCCTGCAGAGTGTCTTCCAGGCAGCTCCACCAGTCTGAACCTCCCCAGCAATTCAGCCTTCTTATATAACCTTGGGGGCCCGCATGCACCTGATCAGTTTCAGGAACTTCCTGAGAGTTCTGGATTGTGTATTTCCTGAGTCTTAGTGAGCCTACCTTTAGAACTTCTTAAGGAGTCTTCCCTCAGAATTTCCTGAATCTTTGGAATTTACTAAGTTTCAGTGGACTCCTTTCAGGGTGGTTTGTTAGAACCCCAAGGGAATGACTGCATAACACCTTGCTTGGATAGAGGCGAGAATCAAGAAACAAGTGTAGAATACCCACTCCCCCCCCAGCTTGGCTGTGAAGGTAGAGGTGGCTCAGCATGGCACCGTGACTTCCTTTAGCATGTCCTAAATGTGTCACAGCCTGGACATAATCAGTTTAACACAACTGGTCACTGCACCTATCAGAATGCTTGAATGGACTGCTATGGAAAACTAACCTTTATCTAGATGGAATATTTGGAGTACAGGGTTTCTTACATTTCAAGAATATTTTTAATTACATGAAGAGTTGACTAAAGTGGTAGGGCTCCCTGGGTTGGACCTCCAGCATGAAAAAAAAAAAAAAGAAATGGAATGGAATGGAATGGAATGGAATGGAATGGAATGGAATGGAATGGAATGGAATGGAGAAGACGGGCTTGAGGATGTAGCTCAATTGGTAGGGTCCTTGCCTAGAATGAAGTCCTAGGTTTGATCCCCCACACCACATAAAACTGATGAAGAACCAGGAAGAAGAGATAGAAGGAAGAGACAGGTAGGTGGGTCTCTGTGAGTTTGAGACCAGCCTGGTCTAGCTAGCACATTCCAGGCCAGCCAGGGCTACAGAGTGAGATCTTGTCTCAAAACAACGATTTTACACTTGGCCACAAGTGAACAGACTTAGTCCAGAATGCCAAAGGTCCAGGGCAGAGGGCCAGTGGGACTGTTTTGGTTGTAGGGAAGGCAGCCAGTTTCTCCAGTGGTCCCGGCAAGGTGATGTTCCAGGTCCATTGACAGGGTATTGCTGACAGCAGCACAACAACTTGTACCAGCGTCCCAGCCCTCTGCATCCCTTACTTCTGCTCCTGCAGCCTTTGTGGCGGAAAAGCTAATTTACTTGAACCTCTGCCTCATCTTTCTGCTCTTGCGCTTCAGCCTGCACATTCACTTCATCCACCATTTCATTCTCATGGTGTAGGAGTTTCAAGGAAGATGGCAGTAAGGCCAATTTGTGATGCACACCTTTAATTCCAGCACTCAGGAGTTCTAGGATAGACAGGGCTATACAAAGAAATACTGTCTCAAAATATAAATTTAAAAAACTGATAGCTGGGCACAGTATTGCATGCCTGTGATCCCAGCACTCAGGGAAGCAGAGGCAGGTGGATCTCTGTGAGTTTGAGGCCAGCCTGTTCTACACAGTGAGTCCAGGACAGCTAAGGTTTCTAGACAGAGAAACCTTGTTGCAAGAAGGTAAGCCATTGAAGGCCATTCTTAGCTATAGGGCAAGTTCCAGGCCAACTTGGCCTGAAAAAAAAAAAAAAAAAAAAAAGAATATAATGAACCCTCGATCTCTATCACCCATTTTCAACAACCCAGGTCTGGCCCACACTGTTTATACCACCTGCTTGTTCCAGGCTCCGGGATATTTGAGAACACATCCCAGACATGCGAATTCATCCATAAAGCTTTAATGTGTTTCTCCTAAATACTGAAAAAGCCATAACCCAAATACCATATTACATGTAAAACTTTAACCACGATTCTTTAATATCAAATACCATTGCTCCAATTTCCCCCAATTGTTTTATTTTCCCAGTTGGGTTGAAATTATACTCCAAATAAGAACTATATTTTGTATTGTACTTGTTCTCTCCTAAATTCTTTTCCTCCCTCTCCCCCACCCATCTCTTGTGAGACAGGATCTCACTATGGAACCCAGGCTGTCCTTGAACTCAGTAATTCTCCCACCTCTTAGGTACTAGGATCACTAGCATGAGCCAACACTGCCAGCTATATTTTGCATTTATTTGTTTTTTCTCTGTCCTTTTTTTTTTTTTCCCAAGGCAGGCTCCCACTACAGAGTCATGGGTGGTCTCTAACCCACCATACAAAGGAGCAGGGTGCACAGCCCACCCCCACCCCCCTTAAACAAGGAGGAAAGGGCAGGGCTGTGGAAGAGCAGGGCCTGGCACCGAGCATCCCTGAGCACCCTGTCCTATCACCAGCTCCTGAAGCTGAGGAAGAGCAGGAAGATGTCCTCAGCCAAAGAACAGGGGCAAGGCTCAAGTTGGCAAGGAGCCCAGGGTGAGAGGGGGCAGGGCCTGAGATCAGACCTGCAAGAGAAACAGGATGTGTGTATTGGGGGGGGGGGGGGGGGGGAGCACACAGGGCCAAAAACCTAGATCCTGGAAGGTCCTCAGGATCTCCCTGAGTGACTGCGTGTCCTGGAGCCCATCACTGGCCTCACAGCCAGGATCCATCCTGCTGCTCAGAAACCAGCTCCTTTGCAATGCTGGGGACCGGAGGCCCATCACCTTCCCTCTGCCTCCTTTTCCCACTGCTGGCCATGTACAGTGCTGAAAGGAGCCATCCTCCTCCTCAACGAAGGTTTGAGTACAAGCTCAGCTTCAAGGGACCAAGGCTGGCAGTTCCTGGGGTTGGAATACCCTTCTGGAGCCACCATGGAGGTGAGAAACGCAAGAGGACTGGCCACACCCAGGGTCCTTCAGAGAGCTGGAGGGTCCACAGCCAGATGGACAGTGGGTGTGAAAGGCTCTCTGCAGGGAGAAGGGTGACCTGGGGCGACAGTGACTGACCCAAGACCCCTCCCACACCTGTCTCCTGTTTCACCATGCCCAGTTGCCTTGCCTTTCAAGACGCCCTTTCTTTGTTCGAGGACTGTATTTGTGGAGGACCCAGAGGCACTGGCAGAACCAGCTGTTGGGAGTGCAGGACAACAGAGGGTCACAACTAAAGCGGAGAATGAAGGGGTCAAGGCTCGGGGGAGAGGGGCCCTGTGGGTGGCCGAAGAGCAGGCTAACATTACCATTCCATCTCTCCTCCAGCTTTGGTTTCTCTCTCGCCACTCCTGGGCCCCAGGACTTTTTGCCTTACTTCTACTTGCAATTCTTCCTCTAACTTTGGACTGTGACACGCACATGGATGTGCGCACGCATGCATGCACACGCCTGATGTGTCCCCGATGCACAATAACGAGGCACCTTGAACGCAGATTAGCCTCCTCTCTGCTGGCTCCATCCAGAGTTCTGCTGGAAGCGGGGCACTGTGTGTCCAGCTATTTTCTTAGGGCAGGCACCAGGCCCTTCCCGTGCCTGTTTATTGGAGGTAGAAGCAGACATTAGATGATCAGAGTCGTGCCATAGCTAAGGTGTCACGAGCACGTGGGGGAGCTGAGGCACATCCCCCGAGATCACCAGCAGATATGATTATTGTCTGTTGTTCATCTCTCCTTTCATCAGAGCCCCACCCAAGGCTCCCCTGTGCCCAGCTGGATACCCAGGATTGAGTCAGGCTCCAGTCTGGGATGAGATCCCAGACACTCCACACGAAGATGACTATGTGCATTAGTCAGAGACTTGCCTCCTACAACTCTCCTAGGGCTTGGGGTGGTGCTATAAAGCCTGTAATTACAGCACGCAGGAGGCTGAGGCAGGAGAATCAAGAGCTTGAGGCTAGCCTGGACTGCTTGAAAAAACCCTGTCTTTTTTGTTTGTTTTTAGTTTTGGGTTTTTTTTTTTTTTTTTTTTAGAGCTCTTTATTACTATAAATCATGGTTTTATGAGATTTTTATAAATCATTTTACATTTTAAATTAATTAATTAATTAAATCACTGTACAGCCTCCTCCCTCCTCCCCTCCCAGTCCCACCCTCACATCAACGGTCCTCTACCACACTCCTCCTAGACCCTTGCTGCTCTCCATGAGTTCCAACCCACCACGGCACATCAAGTCACAGCAGGACTAAGTAGCACCCCTCCCACTGAGGCCAGACAGGCAGCCCAGCGAGGAGAAAGGGATCCAAAGGCAGACAACGGAGTCGGAGCAGCCCCTCCTCCAATAGGGGGAACCGCGCGATGACAAAGTGCACATCTGCCACGTATGTGTAGGGGGCGCTGCCTGTTTTTATAGAAAGAGCTGGGATAGCTCAGCTAATAAAAGTGTTTGCCATGCACACCTGACAACCTGCATTTGATTTCCAGAACCCATAGTGGAAAGGGACAAACAGCTACTAAACTACGGAAAGTTGTCCTCCAGCATCCATATATTGGCCTGCATGTGCGCTTACACACACACACACACACACACACACACACACACACACACACACACACTTTAAAGTACGAAAACAAAAAATGTTGAGCTAGCAATGCTGCTCAGCTGGCAGAGTGCTTGTGCTGGTTTGGCATGCACAAGGCCCTGAGTTAAATCCAAGCTCCACATAAAGCTGGGTGGGATTACAGCCTGTCACCCCAGCACTCTGTGGAAATGGAGGCAGGAGGGTCAGTAGTCCCGGGTCATCTCTGGCCAGCCAGAAAGTTCTAGGCCACCCTGGTCTATATTCTAAAAACAAAATACAAACAACAACCTCACTTCAGACAATGGTGGTTTCCAGAGACTCTGGACCTTCTTTTCTTCCCCACCCATCACTGGCCTTTGCAGAGCAAACAGGCTGGATTAGCAACCTCCGGAAAGTCTTGGCAGGGTCTCTGCCTTGGGCCAGGTTCCAGGCTGGCAGACCAGAGGGTGGGGATCCAGTTGGAATGGAGCCTCTGATTCCTTCCTTCCCTCCAGTTCCTGCCATATCTGCCTCAGGCTGCCCTGCCCCCCAGCTCCAGGGTAATCCTCATGCTCTCCAAGCCTGTGCCTTCTTCTCACCACCCTCCAGGCCAGAGCCTGTCTCAGTCCCTATGCCACAAGCCTTTCTCTTCTTGGGCCACCCTTGGTCCTCTTTCCCACAAGCCTCATTTCCCAGATGCTTGGATTACTGATCCTCTTGCCTCCATCTCCTGAGTGCTAGCATTACAGGTGTGTGCCTGTATGTGTGCCTGTACAGCACTCCCAATTTTATGGAGCTGGGGATGGAACTCAGAGCTTTGTGGTTTTTTTGTTTGTTTGTTTTTGTTTTTGTTTTGTTTTTGAGCTTTGTGGTTTTTAGGCAAGTACTCTACCACTTGAGTTCCATCCCCAGCTCCATAAATGAAATCTTATAAAAACAGATGGCATAGACTTTCAGTGAGGCTGCAGTGGAACCCAGAAAACCCTGCCTCTTGCTGCCTTTCTTGAGTAACACCCACCTGAGTGCTAGTCCCATTTCCCCAACGGATTCTCGCCTCTCAGAAGTCAGCCCCATAGCAAATGACAGGTCTTTGTGCGAGCTCTTTCCCAGGGCTCAGCTTTTGCTGATGAGATAGAGAGGTAGAAGAGGAGAGTCCAGAGGTCCCCAGCTACCCTGCTCCACAGATGCCATTCCAGGCCTGGAGGAAGTGCGGCTGGTTCCATCTATGAAGAACCGGAGTGGTGCCGTGTGGAGCAAGATCTCTGTCTCCTTTCCTGCCTGGGAAGTGGAGATGCAGATGAGAGTGACTGGACCAAGGCGCCTGGGAGCCCAGGGTGTAGTGAGTGGTCCTTACCCGTGTCTGTCGGGGAAGCAGGTGATAAGCCCCAGTCCCAGGGTCCTACAGGGTTCCTGACCTGTGGGTCTGGGAACTTTCAGGACATGTGGTATACCCAGCAGAGGGGTCAGGTCAGCTCTGTCCTAGAGGGGCTGGCCTCATGGGATGGCATCAGGATCGCCTTTGATTCCTCTGCCAGTGACGTCCAGGTGGGTAGCCTTCTCATGCCCACCCTCCTGCCTGTCTTAGCTCTAATCTTCACTCCTCATTGTGCTTCGAGGCTCAGGCTGGTTGTCACCTTCTATGCAGAATGGCCCTGTCGTCCGAGTACTGGCCAGTGATGGGCAGGACCTCCAGGAGCAGTTTGGGTAAGGGCTTGAGGGAACTGAGCTTGGGCCTAGCAATCACCTGTACTTCCTTCACGAGAGAATTCACCCCTCCTAAACCCGGCACCTTTGCTGATCTCTCATTCTGAGCTCTGCTGACTCCTTATGCCTCGGCAACCAGGCCAGAGCATGCTTGCTTCTCAGGGTGATGGCCTCATCCGTCTCCAGTCGTTCAGCTCTTGAGACCCAGGTGAAGTGACAGGGGCTGGAACTGCCATGAGCAAGGTCTCACTCCAGAGACCCACATTAAGCATGCTACATGGGGACACTAGAAAGGCTGATTGACCAGAATGGCTACAGAGCAGTGCCCAGGAAGGGTCCGGGTACTAGCTGCACTGTTGTCCCTTTCTCTCAGATGAGGTGGCCTCCTGCTCCTCCCCCGCTGGCTGCCATAAGTGGCTGGACTGGTTTGTCAGTGTGTCTCAGCAAACATCCCTCAGCCCATCACAATTAGGATAATTGCTGAATGACATTTATGGAGTTGGGCTGACTGTATAGCAGGCACAGTGCCCAGGCATTTGACATTGTCTTGGGAACCCTTGTAACATTGTTATGAGGTAGTTGCAATTATTACCCTCATTTTAAAGACAATAATTCTGGGCTTTGGGAAGGGGGGAGAGGCTGCCCAAGGTTATGCAGCCTTGAATATGGCGCCTCCCTATTCTCTGCTGCCCAACTCTTGGCTGAAGGTGACAGCATAGGTCCCATGCTGTGCACCTATGGGCCAGAGAACCTCGGGCTCAACAATCTCCTAAGTCCCTGATCTTGCTGAGCCTCTCTGGGGAAAAACTGAACTGGCCACATTGCCCTTGGCTTTTAGGACAGGGCCCTTACTGTCTGCCTCAAACAGTCTAAGCCTTTGCAGAATGAGAAAGGGACAGGCGTTGGAATTTAAGGGAAATAGAGGGATGGAGGAACAGTGAGATTAGGAGGTGAGATGAGGGATAGAGATTAGAAATCCCATGGTTACCTGGGCTTCTGCCTCTTTGCAGAAGCCCTTGACTCTTTCTGTGAACTCTCAAGTCCCAACCAGCACTGCCAGGCAGAACTGACTTTCTTATTCCACCTTCTCCTGCCAAGGAAGCAAACTATAACAAGAGAGGCTCAAGATAGACAATGGGGGGGGGGGGGCTTGTCCCAGGCCAGGTCACTCAATGGGGACAGTGACACTCCAGGCTTGGACAAAGTTGTTCCTTGGATTGTCCCTCATTGGTCAGTCCCTGATCCCATGTGGCCTGGCTGCATTCTAAGCATCCATAGGGATGGAACTGTCCGGGAACTAGGCTCCTGTCAACGAGACTTCAGGAACTGGCCATACCCCTTCCGAGCTCGGATCACCTATTGGAAGCAGAAGCTGCGAGTGAGTCACCCCTGCTGTTCCCGTGGGAGCCTCTAGTGGGCTGTAGTGCTGCAGTCTGGGGAGTGCCCAATGTTCTAACAGCCCCATGCCTGTGACCGTCTGTCACACACTGGTCTTCACACCCATGTGAGGTCCCTGGTCCTCCACCAATACAAAGAATCTTAACACTCCCAGAACATACAAGGCTCGGGTGAGACCAGCATCTATGTCACTTTTATGCCATTCTGACCCCAGGCCCCATAGTTTCTAGCTTACTTCAGGTCTGGGGAGCCAGTGAATCTGAGTAGGGGACAGCCCCTTCTTCTGGGACCAGGCAAAGACAGGAGCTCACTGCCCTCGTGCCCCTCAGGTGTCCTTGCGTGGAGGCCTTACCCCCAATGACCCTGAAGAGGTCTGTGCCGATGTGGAGCCCCTGCTTTTAGCCCCTGGAGGCTTCTTTGGGGTCTCAGCGGCCACCAGCACCTTAGCAGGTAGGTAAGCAGAGGGCTGTGTCTGATGACGGAAAAACCTTATTGCAGGTTCTAAAACGCCTTTGTATGGTGTCAACCACCTTCTCACTAAGCGGCCTGGGCTGGTCACATTCCCTCTCTGGCTTCTCCGTCAGAGGGTTACATTGGCCTTGAAGAGCTACGGCATGTCTCAAAGGGACACTGGGGGTGTAAGCCCTGTTGGTGAGAGCTCAAACAGCATGCAGGACCCAGCTGTGGCGGCGCATGCCTGTAATCACAACACTTGGGAGGTAGAGGTGGGCGGGGGGGGGGGGGGATGTTTAAAGCTATCCTGTGCTATATAGCAAATTCAAAGGTCAGCCTGGCCTACATGAGACCCTGTCTCAAAAACTAAAAAGAGGAGGGGGGCTCAAATGAGATGACACATAAGAATTTTTATAGTCCAGTATCAATAGCCATAACTTCACTTTCCTGGATGCCGTAGGCTGGTAAAGGGAGGGAAAGCACAAGCTGCAGTAGGGGAGTGGATGTCTTGCAGTGGAGAGCCCCTGGAGGGTCCTAGGGCTGAAAAGCAGGCTGCAACCAGAGGATGTGAGTCTATGAGAGCCGGGCCTTTAGTTTTTAGGCTCTGGGTCCCGGAGTGTCATAAAAGGTTTCTAGGAGAAAGGATGGCTGCAGCCATGCTGGGGAGGCAGCCACTGGGTGCTTGTGACTTGTGACTGCAGTAGCAGCTCTCTTCTGTGTCCTGTGGTCCCCTGCGTGGCCCTTGGGCCCCACTCCGGCTGTATGCGGTTCAGCCCTCACATCCCACACGCTGGTGTATTTGACCTTCAATGAAATAAATGAGACAAAGGTCAGAGTTGCCCAGAGTCATACAAGCCCCTTGTTTTCCTGCAAACAGTAGAGTCTGGACGATGGGTAAAAAAACTCCATATCTCCCCTTCATCTGTCTCTCTTCCAGATGACCATGATGTCCTGTCCTTCCTGACCTTCAGTTTGAGGGAACCAGGTCCAGAGGTAATGGCAGTCATTTCTGCCTGGGAGAGGTAGCCCAGAGACCCTGCTCTCCTCAGATGCCTTCACTCACAGCAGGGCATCCTCAGACCTGCCATGCTAGTTCTCACCAGCTAGCTGTCAAGTCAGGCCTTGGGATGGGCAGTGTAAAAGCCAGTATGTATCCTCTAAGCTTCTCTGGTGGAACATATTTTAATCCCAGCACTCAGGAGGACAGAGGCGGGAGGATTTCTGTGAGAGCCAGGCCAGGGCCTCACACTTAGAACATTGTCTCAGTGACTACAAAACAAGACCAAAAAGGCCCAGGGCAGTAGTGGTGGGGGGTAAGGGAGGAGGGGGAGGAGGAGGAGCACTAAGGAAGAAGGGTCTGAGCCAGCCAAGAGGAGAGAGAAGGGTGCCTGCAGGAGGTGAGCTTGAAGGAGCACCATACCTAAAGGCTTAAAATGTCCAAAGTCCTGAGCTCACAGTGAGCAGAGAAGTATGTGAGAATGCGGTAAACACAGAGCTCACACATCTACAAGCTGCAGGGCTCTGTGGGGGCGTGGTGGTTGAACTGTGGGTTCCTCCTCGGTCCCAGTGAGTATGTGGTAAAGGCAGGAAGACTGTGGGCTCCCAGACGCCCTGAGGGGAGGCTGCCCCTCACAGTACTCCCACGCATTTGGGTTTGACTTTTTGTCTTCCTCTTCCAGGCAGGCCCCCAGCCATTCATGGAGAAGGAGCAGCTCCGCCTGGCCAGGAAGCTGGAAGGACTGCAGGCAAGGTTGGCCCTGGGCATTAGAGAGGATAACATTCCACCGCTGAGCTCCAAAGCCCAGGAAGAAGGTAAGACCCAGGGAGCAGGCAGGTGGGGCCACAGCACATTGTAGGACCATAGGACCTTGTTCCTCCAACCAGAATCCATTAGCCCGTGGAGAAGCGGAGACCCAAGGAGGCTGTATCGAAGCAGAACCTGGGCTGAATATTCTGACCTATTCCCACCTGACACCCCCACCCTCAGGCACATTTTCTTTTTCAATGTGTGTGCGTGCATGCGTGCGTGTGTGTGTGTGTGTGTGTGTGGTGTGGTGTGTGGCGTCCACCACAGCATTTGTGTGGCGTCAGAGGACAACTTGGTGGAATCTGTTCTCCCCTGCCACCTTTATATGGGTTCTGCAGGTCACACTCCCATTGTCAGGCTTTCCTGGCAAGTGCTTTTCTGTCGCTCACCCTGCTTGCTGGACCCCTTTTCCAAGCCCTTTTTCTTAGAAGAAGAATCCACACTTCCTCATGCTCCACTCCAAAACACAATCTACTGCCCCTCCCCCCACAGCCTTCCATTTTGGCTCTGCCCCAATCCCCAGGGGAAAGGTTCTTTGACTTGGAGGATACACTGGGCAGACAAAGCCAGATCCTGCAGGCCCTCCAGGCTCTCTCCAGGCAGTTGGACCAGGCTGAGAAGCAGTGGAAACAGCAGCTGGGGTCTACAGTCCAAGTCCGACCTGAGGGAGGCTGGGTGAGTGACTCTGGACCACCCTAGATCCCACCTGAGGGCTTAAAAGAATAGTGACAGTCTAGAGCTAAGGTCACCCAAGCTTGGAGGGAAAGGAGGACAGGTTACAGGACACAGCAGGGTAGTATGTAAGAGGACATTACCACATAGCAATTGCCCTGGGGCCACAGGGCTGGGCTGCAGAGAAGAGATGCCAGGTATCTGGAATCTTGTCTATACACAAGTAGCAGAAATAGACTAGGCGCTAATTTGCATGTGGCTTCACATGTGATTTGCATAAGACTTGCTTAAATGCTCAGTTGCACCAGAATCCTCATTTCATCTCTGCTGCCATCCTGGCTCCTCCCCCAGGTGTCATTCCCTAGGACACACTCCAACTTGAGGAGTGAAAACTAAACCCAGCCAACATGCTGGCTAGTGGGCAGACAGGGACAGCCACTCTTGCAGGCTTTAGGCCCTGCCAGCCCAAGGCTTTTAATCTTTTGTCCTCAGTCCATTACAGCTTAGGTTAGGCTGTTGGAGTGAAATGGAGCGGAGAGGCCGACACTCCAGATGTTTCTGATCCTATCTTTAGGCCCCGAACCCTTCTTGCCTGATTCCACTCATCCTCAGAAGGGTCAGCTCCCTATCCAGGTCACTCTGCCAGACTTGGACCCCTGTACTGGATTTTAAACCTGTTCTAGCCCTCAGTTTGGATCACAGCCTAAGAGAAAGGCACGGAGAGGATTGGATCAGGCTTCTGCCTCCCTGTGGGGCCAGGGATACTTTTTAACAGAAGAAGGATTTGTGGAAAGCCTAGGGGGCCCTTTTGGAAGAAACACCCCAGCTTTGGTGTGGAAGGAGGGTCCTCCAGAAGTCCAGGTGGACAAGTGCCAGGGGGATTCATTGTGTCCAAAAAGAGAGGAGTCATGGCCCTTGGATAAGGCTTCTGGAAGAAAAATGAAGTATCTGTGGGGAGGGTGGACTCTGAGGAGAGGGGGCTCTGGACACTAAGAGCTGGCCTTCCTGTAGAACACTGCCAAGGTCAGCACACTGCTCTATGGACAGAGGACTCTGATCCAGGCCCTGCAAGAGATGAGGTAAGGGATAGATTGAGGAGGGGGACTGAGAGGGGAAAGAAAGGGTCCGTTGTTATCCTGCCTCTGCCAGAAATTCCCGCTCCCCATTTCTGGGGCTACAGGCACTTACAGCCATACCTGGCTTTTTCCGTGTGTACTGGGAGTATGAACTCAGGTCCTTGTGCTTGCAAAACAAGCACTCTTAGCCTTTGAACCATCTCCTCAGCCCTTAAGGGCATGTATTTGATAGAGGTTCTTGGAGGAAGCACAGCCAAGATGAGGCTCTTTGGAGGAAGTGGTCTGAGCCCATTCTGCCTCCAGTGTCCCAGGATCTCACTCTGGCGCACCCATGCCTGTGGAGCTTCCCGTAGAGTTCGGGGGTGGGGAGATCCCCTCCATCTAGATGCCTGGGGTGTTAATTCCTCTGGGCTAGAGATGAAAGGCAGAGTCCAGGGAGCCTGGAACGTAGACAGACACTTTTAGAGACATCTTTGTATATGCTAAAGTTGTCTCAGGTTCCAGGGAGAAGTTTTAGAGTAAAAAGACCGACCCCAAAGACAGGACTCTATGCATGATATCTATTTTTTATCATGTACTGACTCTGGGGGATTATGGGGAAATATTAGGTAATTGGGGTACAACCAAAAAGAGTAATGGGTCATCTTTCTTGATGTCCACGCCCCATCACACCACCAGGGAAACAGCTGCCCAGATGGTTTCAGGAGCCCAGGTCTTTTACCTGCCTGTGGGGACTAAGCATCATTTTTTTGAGTTGGACCAGATCCTCAGCCTCCTGCAGAAGGACCTCAGGGATCTGGTGGTAAGAAGTGGTGGGTAGGGCTCATTCTTGAGGTCTGGTCTCTGCTAGCCTTTCCCAACACTTCTGTAGCTTTGCTGCATTCGTCCAGGACCCCTGACAGACACAGCTGTATCTACCTTTGTGTGCCTACACAGGGCACGAAAAGACACAGGTCTCTTCTATTCACTCTCCTGCTTAGGAGGAACCTGCCACTCAGCACTACCCAGAGACATCTTGATCAACACCTCTTGATGACCAGAAGGGAAGTGGAGTAGACCATGCTAGGGACCACTCAGATTCAGCGGTGCTGCCAATCTTCCCTGGGTCCCTGTCCCTCCTTGTTCTTTTCCTTGCTCTTACATTCACCACCCTCTCCTCCTTCTCCCTTATCTCTTAAGACTTTAGTCCGTTGATGATTCCAGGACCAATATCTTCTGAGCTATTCCCACAGGTGGAGCCATGAAAGATTACAGAGCACAGCTTTGGACACTACCCTATTTCCATGTTCTTAGATGACAGCCAGGATAGCCCAAGCCTGAGGGAGATAAATAGGGACCATGCAAGGCATGGATTCCAGGTCCCCTCTCCTCTAATGGGTTAGAAGCTGAGGCAGGGCCTCATAATTTTCCCTTTCAGAAGATGACAGCCAAGGCCCCCCGCCAATCTGGCTGGCACCTTGGAACTTCCACATGTCTTCGGACCAGCATCTTCCTGTTCTTCCTCCTCATCCAGACCATAGGCTTCTTCTGCTACATGAACTTCAGGTGGGTCTTCCCATGGGCACAACTTCCCATACCACCTGTATCAATTGGTTCTGTTGAACTTGCACATCTACAATGGTTGAATTGAATTGGGGACCCTGAAGCTCAGACAGGTGCTATCCAGTTCACCAGAAGGCTGGGAGCAGAATCTAGACCAGGGACACATCATTTACTAAGGACAGACACCTACTCAAGCTCCAGTCCCATCTAGTCCTGCCCCACAGAACCCACTTTAGAGCAAGTATCTGAAAACTGGTAGTCAGACCTTATGTTGCCAGTGCTATGGTGGCTGGAAGCTTGGAGACTTGGGGAAAAGCAATTGATTCATCTTTGAGGCGGGGTTGAGGGTAGAAGGCGATCAAGGAATTGACCTGGAAAGAATATTTGATTTGGGTCATTAACGTGACTAAGTTTTTCAGCCTGACAAGATAAGTAAAGGCATTGATGCAGAGGAAACAGCATCAGAAAAGGCATGGAGGATGGAAAAAGCATCTTTAGGGGAAAGAAAAAGAAAGCAGTTGAGTACTGTTGAAATAAAGGGCAGGACCAATTTACAAGACTGGGCAAGGAATCTGGGCATTCTGGATTAAAAGTGAATGCCTTTAATCTCAACACTTAGAAGGCTGAAGCAGAGGGATGCTGAAATCTGGACCAGTCTGGGTTCAATAGTGAGATCTCGTCTAAAACAGAAAAAGGAAACGTGTGCCTAGGACTGCACCTTGGCACTAAGCCGTCCAGGAAGACTTCAAATGTCAGGATGAGATGTGAACTTATATGGCATGTCAAGGGAGCTATAGATGGTCCAGAATGTAGCGGGCTGTGGGATACTGAGCACTGGGAGGCAAGTATGAGTCTTTGTCTCAGAAGGGACCAAGTAACCTTTTCTCTCTGGCAGCAGGCAGGAGCTGGACAAGAGGCTTCAAAAGTACCTGTCCACAGGAAGCCTTCCTCTAGAGCCTGCACTACCCATCCCTAGGACACTAGGGGCTCTGAGGAGACAGCCTGTCTCCCCCAGCATGCAAGCCTGACCCAACTCAAAGCCATGTCTTACTGGGAAAGTGGGGGATAAAAGATTTAGCCAGTATCCTTCCTGAGTGTCTACATCCTAGTTTTTGGCAAGTCCATATTAAAATTGATTTTCCTCTTGCTGTGACCATAGCCTCATTTACCTTCCAGCCTCACAAAGCTTCCAGCCTCTGATAGCTTCCATCTTCTCTGGGTAGGTAGCGTCCCAGAAGGCAAGGAGGCCAAGGGCTAGATACCCCTAGAGCCCTTCCCTCTGGACTACTGAAGCAAAGGGAGAGAACTGTGCAAAATTCTCTTCCTACTAAACTCAGCAAGCACAAGGAGAGGTGCCTGGGCTCCTTCTGGCTCATCTTTTCAGTACCCCCAAACAACACTCCCCTTCCCCACTCCCTGAAGCTCCATGGACATCAGGGCAGACACGTGACAGAGGAACTGAGTGAAAACTCACCGAACCATATAACTGGGATTCCTGCTCATGCTCTTGAGGCCTCCCCTCTGCCCAGCCTTGAGCGTGTTGAGGTAGCTGCTAGGGTCAGCAGAATGGAGGTGGGGGTGGAAGGAAGATGGAATGGGACGGAAGGCTGGGGTTGTTTGGACCTTGCTGCTACTGGGCTCTCCAAGCTCAAGTTCTGGTTCCCGATGACCCAGAAATAGAGGGAATTGGAAGGTAGAAGGCAGGGATCAAGGCACACTTAAACGCAGCCCCTTTTCCCAGGGCAGCGACCCCACCACCGCGAGCCCTAATCAGCTGTCAGCAGTAGCCAGCAGAGCCTGGCTGGCGCTAAAGGAGGCACGTGGGAAAGGCGGGAGTGAGGAGCGGGCACGTGGTCCAGGCTTCTCAGCCCCGTGCATGCCCCCCTCCCGGCCCCCGTGAGGAGGGGTTTGGGAAGGTAGGGACCAGCGCGCAAAGCGTGGGGCGCGAGCGCGCAGCCGGAGCTGTCCCTGGGACTTAGTGCTGAAGTAGGCGCCGGCGAACCAGGCGCCTGGTGTAGTGGCCAGAGAAGACCATGGCGTTCATGGTGAAGTCCATGGTGGGTGGCCAACTGAAGAACCTCACCGGGAGCCTGGGGGGCGGCGAGGACAAGGGGGACGGAGACAAGTCTGCAGCCGAAGCACAGGGGATGAGCCGAGAAGAGTACGAAGAGTATCAGAAGCAACTGGTGGAGGAGAAGTAAGTGGGACCCTTTCTTCGCTCCTGTGATTCCACACACAAATACACTGACGCGGCTGTAGCTTTCCGTGGTCAGAGCTCCCCTCTACCTCTCCTCAACATGGTAAGAGGGCGGGAGGTGCCCTCTGGGCTGCGTTTGCAACCAGCCTATTTCAAACCTAGGACCCTGTTCCAGCTTCATCCTTTGGTCCAGGGGGAGTTGGGGGAAGGGTGATGAGTGCAGGGGTGTCTGGGGGGGAGCAGGCACGTGCATCTCTGATGAAATAGGTAATCCCTTAATCCGATCTGCTTTTAACCTCCTGTCTTCCAACTGGGGCTCCTCTGAGCCTGAGGCTGTAAGAAAAGTGCTTTTCATTAGGCAGGGCTCAGAGTCATGGGGACAGATGCACGGTGGGGGTATTCATGGATACCGAACCTACCGTATGCAGCAGTTCTGGGGAAGAGTAGAGAGAGAGTGAGCTAGGGTGAAGTTGCTTGGTTCAGATCCTCGCTTTGCTTAAGGCTGAGTAACTTTAAGAAAGTCATTTAACATTTCTGTGACTCCTTTCCCCTTCTGAAAAATGAGTGGTAATCACAATACATGCTTTATATATCCGTGAGAGCTGAATGAGTTAGTGCCGTTAACCCTTAAGTACAGCACCTGGCACATGCAAATCTTCCTGAAATATCCGCTATTGTCATTTTATTTAATCCTGGTTGTTCTGTGAGTTGTAAGTCTCACCCCCCCCCACACACACACCTTACAGGAGAAGGTAAGTGATTTACTGAAGGACATATCAAAAGTGGCAGTAGTACCATGAGCCAAGTCCAGAGTACCCCCCCCACACCCTTTCCCTCATACCCTCACTGCCCCTTCCACACAATTTGTCAGAGAAGGAAAGACAGACCCAGAAGGAAAGACAGAGATTGCAAAGGACATATGTTAGGAACTGAGAGAGCGGGTTGGAGAGAGAGAAAGAGAACAAGACTCCTACTCAGTCAGCTCTCTTCATTAGCAGGAGTGGAGAACACACAGAAGAAGGACAAGGTGATGGGTTGGTGGCATAAGCTAAGCCTGCCAGTCTGAGGTGACTAACTAGGCACAGGCCAGCTGGGGGTTGGGAGTCCCATACAGCCTCTCCCAGTCTTCCAGATCATTTTAGCCCCTCCTTTGCAGACCTCATATCTCTCAACCCCCCGAGATGACTTCACAACTGGTGTCCTCCTCCCACGCAGGATGGAGCGGGATGCACAGTTCACACAGAGGAAGGCAGAACGCGCCACACTGCGGAGTCACTTCAGAGACAAATACCGTCTGCCCAAGGTATCCAGAGCCTAAATTGGGAGGTGTTACTGGGTCTCTGCGAACTGGGAGCTGAACTCCCTCTGGGCCCCTCAACTCTCAGCCCATAAGACTCACAAGGTGCTTGATGACATTTTTTCCTTTTCTTTCTCATGTGTTCATCCACATGCTCACACTGCTGAGACAAACCCTGGGCCTGTGGAAGCTTACAAGTTTGTTTCTGGGGTCAGTCCTTTTTTCCTTCCCCTCCACCTTTCTGAGCTGGGACAAGCCTGGCCCATGAAGACATGTGGGGTTGGGAGGGGAAGGTCAGAGAGCAGGCTCTGTGAGAGTGTGAGCTCCCCTGGGGCTACTGACTCCCTTTGGAATGCTGGCAGGAGGGTAGGGCATGACCCTTCCCGGGCAACCTTACCTCACTCTCTCAAGGAGGCTGCTAGATAGTTGTCACTACATGTGTGAGAGAGGAAACTGAGATGGGGAGACTAAGGGGCCTAGCCAGTGTGTGGGAGAGTACAAGCCCGTGAATATTGTGTGTATGCTTACTCTACTTTTCAAGATATGGGGGCTACGACCTTCGCCTGTCTTTGTCTCAGGGAGCTCCTGCCCTGTGCTTCCCACGATGTTGCAGCACTAGATTGGCCTACAAATGTGCCACTCCTGCCTGGGACAAGCCGCTCCCCAGAGCATCACCTTTGTGTGCCCAGAGCTGTGCTAGACTCTGAGGAGTAGGGTGCCATAACCCTGGCCTTGACTTTCTATTTGAGTACAGAGATAAAGTATGACCTGTCACATCTACTCATCAAGCAAAGTGTTTACTGAGCCCCTGGCTGCCACTGACTTCCCACAAGTCTTTTGAAAGTCTCTCAAAGGAAAACCTAGTTCGGAAAGTCTTCAGTACTACAAATTCCGATAGCAATGGGGTCATGGCTCAAATGCTTACACCAAACATGTAAGAGACATTACACTGCTGTAAGGGGATTCTGAGTCTAGCAGAGAAGGCAAGACTTGGGTGTAACTGTGTGGGACACAGGAGAAGAACCCTAAATACTTCCCAGAGACCTGGGGGAGTATGGTGGCTCTCAGCAGGTGCAAAAGGAGTACAGATATTGGAGTAAGTGGCGTAGGTCTGAATCTAGCTTCCCCACTTCTCTTCCTAGAAGTATACTAGGCAAATTGCTTAAATTCTGAATCTCTCTCTCTCTAGTTTGTAAAGTAGACATGTCATGTCCCTTGTTGCTAAGGATGGCCTTGAACTCCTAATCTTTCTGCTTCTACCTCCTGAGTTTACAGGTGTGGGCCACTTGTCATTTTTGTCTAGTTTTTGTTTGTCTGTTTGTTTTGAGACAGGTCTCAGTATGTCTCACTGTATGGCCTGGAGCTTGCTATGTTAGACCAGGTTGGCTTTGAATGCATAGTGATCTATCTACTGGCCTCTGCTTCCCATGTGCTGGGACTAAGGGCCTTTAACACCACTCTTGGCTCTTCCTAATTTTTTTTTAATGTTTTTGTTTTGTTTTGTTTTTGAGTCATATTTTCTCTGTGTAGCCCTGGCTTCCCTAGAACTTGTCTGTAGACCAAGCTGACCTCAAACCCACAGAGATCCACCAAGGTGTGCACCACCACACCCAGCATTTTTCTTGGTATTTTTTTATTGCAAAAGGTAAAGCATTCTGAGTGCTAGAGAGATGACTCAGTGGTGAAAAGCACCTGTTGTTCTTGCAGAAGACTGGAGTTTAGTTCATAGCATGCACATCAGAAGCCCATGACTGCCTGTAACTGCCAGGTCCAGGGGTCTGGTGCCGTCTTTAGGCCCCCACGGGCACCCAAACACACGTGCACATACATATCCATGAACAATAAAATAAACCTTAAAGAAGCCCGTTAGAAGTACCTACTTCACTGTCAGCCATAGACTAGGTCTTGACAAATGGTATCCATCAATGATTTTGTTGTGCCATTCAGTGTAGTTAGCCACGGTCAACAGTTAGCTGACTGTAACAAAGCCGCGTTTTCCTTTTGATTTAGTCTCTCTGCCAGTCCTTCAGTATCTCAGGTGAGTAAGGCAGTGCAAAACTGCAAAGTCTCCAGGCCAACCCATGAAAGGCTTGACCCCAGTGTGGGGCAGGTGCTGAGCTCGCTGGAATAGGGCCTTCAGCAACCAAGAGTCCCAGGACCAGCCTGGGCAGCCTCTGTGCCATGTACTGCTAGGTCCTGACAGATCTCCACCCTTGTCTCTTCCCTTCAGAATGAGACAGATGAAAGCCAGATCCAGCTGGCAGGTGGAGATGTGGAGCTGCCTCGGGAGCTAGCCAAGATGATCGAGGAGGACACGGAGGAAGAGGAGGATAAGGCCTCTGTGCTTGGGCAGCTGGCCAGCCTCCCCGGCTTGGATCTCAGCTCACTCAAGGACAAGGCTCAGACTACACTAGGGGACCTCAAGCAATCAGCTGAGAAGTGCCATATCATGTGACCACTTCCCCTGGGGTTACCTCTGGGATGGCTAGAGGGTTGGTGCCATGTGAGGGCTAAGAGAGTGTCTCAACTTCCACATACCTCCACTCTATTTTGGCCTTTGTTCTTCCCTGCCCTAGCCTAGCCTCACAGTCTTTTCATCCAAGGCCAGCTCTGGCTCTGATCGCTCCCTCTTTGTTGTCAGCAAAGTTCCCCTTCTTCCCTCTTTCCCTCTTTTGCCTGGAAAGTTTCCCAAGTCGATAAGATTAGCCCAACCCTCTCTGGGTACAGCCCCCTGTTCTTTCACACTAGAGCACTCACAGAAAGAAACAGAAGCCCTGGATCATTCACCATAGACGCATACTGGCACACACAGACACACACATCCCTTGGGTTCCTAGCCCCTCCCAGATACCAGCACCTAGGAGGGACTCTGGGCACACAGAAGGCCTGTTCTTATCCCTACCTTATGGTCCTAGAAGCTGCTGCTGGGCTTTACGGTATCATCTGTGAAATGGGGATGGACTGAGTGATTTCTAAAATTCTTTCCCAATTGGCATTCCCGACCACTCAGAACAGAGCCCACATCCCTTCTTGGGCAGGGCAGCAGCTGCACACAGCGTCACACAGCTGCCACTGTGGGCTCTGGGAACTGAGCAATGCTGTGTGAGGGGCAGAGTGCCAGGGATGGAGCTGGCACTGAACAGTAGCTCAAGCAGCTCCAGACCTTCTCTGGGCCTAGGGCCGGGCCAAATTCTGTTCTGTTCCTGTAGAATTCTCTGGATTCCATAGTTGGAATTTCCTCTTCTCGTTCAGTGGAAAATAAAAATTCCAAATGACATGGCTATCTTCCCACTTCTGCTGACTCGGAGTTCCCAGGCCCCAAGCCTGCCCTTGGAGGGGTATCCTCTGCCTCTTTGCCTGCAGCTTCAGAGGGCTCTGGGAGATGAACAAAGAGAGGGGACTTCTGTGGGACTCTATAGCGCCAGCCCCTGTATGCGTGCCCTCTCTGGGCTGCAGGTGAAGCCTCGACGAGGGAGCAGATGCGCTTTGGGCAGGATGAGGCAAGTCTAAGCACCAAGAGTTTGATGTGACAGGCTTTTGGGTAAGGTGGGGCCTTAGGGTGTTTCCTGAGATTAAAGAAAAGGGCTCTCTCTCATACTTGTCCCTCGATTAAGATGGAGAATGAGACAGAGAGGAGAAAGGGTTCATTGTGCTTCAGCCTGGCTCTGCTGTGTGTCCTTAAGTAGGTCTCTAAGCCTGTGTTGCTCCTGGTAAAATGAAGAGTTCCTGTCCCCAATAATAACAGTATGTGTTTCAAAGACTGACCATTTGTTTTGTTTTTGTTTTTGTTTTTTTTCTTGGTAGCGCTGGGGACCCAAGGCCTCACACACTGCATACTAAGGAGAGTGCTCTACCACTAAGCTACACCCACAGCCTCCAAAAATGCCCCTTACCAGCTGTGGTAACACTGAAGACAGTGTTAGTCTCTGGCACATTTGCAGGGAGGTGGCCTGAGGTGGGAAGCTGGTGCCCTTGAAGAGTTTGTGTTTAGGCAGCGAATTACTGTTCCTGCTACTTCCTCTGTCTGTCTCCGTTGGTATTATTGTCTTTATTTTGTTTCAGAGTCTCATGTAGCTCTGGCCCACCTCAAACCCCTATGTAGTTCCTTGGACTTCCAATCATCTTGCCTCCACTTCCCAAGTATCCTGGTTACAGGAATGGGCCACCACACCCAGTTTAGGCTGTACTCAGAAGCTAACCAAGGGCTCTGTGCATGTTAAGCAAGCACCGACTGAGATGCGTCCTTGACTGTGCTTGGTGGTGTTTTTAAATTTAATTTTATTATTTTATGTGTATGAGTATTTGTCTGCATGTATGTATGTGCACCGTGTGTGCTTGGATATCAAAGATGTCAGAAGAGGCTATAGGACCCCCTTGGGCCTGGAGTTACTGATGGTTTTGAGCTGCAGTGTGGTGCTGGGAATCGAAGCTGTGTCTGGAAGAACAGCCAGTGCTCTTAACCACTGAGCCATCTCTCCAGCCCCTTTGTAGTTGAGATGGGATCTCACTATGTAGCCCAGGCTAGTCTGGAACTTTAATCTTCCTGATTTAACCTCCCAAGGGCTAGCATTACAGATGTGGAGCACCACTATGCATGAAGAATAAAAAGAATATAATTCTTTCTTAAATGAAGATTTCAAATGTCATCATACTTTCTGATGTCTGGCAGGCAGGGTAGGGGATGGCGTTCTGGAAGTTCTAAGTAGCTGCTCCAGTGGGTCATCCCAGGGGCTTGCTGGGCAGAAGGAAAGTGCTACAGGTACCTGGTGCCTCTTGGCCTCACAGGCTAATTGCTAGCCGGTGGGGAAGCCATTAGTTTTACAGGCAGGAAAAGCAGTTTGTTTTCAAGGGCAAAGTTCCTAGTAAGTCTCCCTATAAAATAAGAACAAGAAAGAGTAGGTAAGGTTGAGTGGAAGAGCTGAAACAGGAAAGAAAAAAAGAGGGTGAAGACAGAAGGGATCTATGCCCCAAGCGGCACTTCTTGAGGCTGTCCCCCTGGGCATCCTCTGAGCATGCTAGGGAGACACCTGCGGCTCAGATGCTCTGGCCACGCCCTGGGGGAAGGGCTTAGCAGTCACTGGACAAACACCCTCTTCTGACCTTCCCAGAGGAGCCCCAAGCTGGGGGTGGGGAGCATGGGCTGCCTCAGCAGCATCAACAGCAGGGTCCACGTCAGCCCTCCACCCTCAGGGGCCTTCTGCCTAATGGGATTGGACAGCCCCTTCCCCTTCAATGCTTTGCTGGCTGAGAAAGAGGCCAGCATGGCAGGTCAGGTGGTAGGGGTGCTTGGGGACACTCACTGAACCCTGTCAAAGCAGGGCTGTTTGGCGCCTGGGGTCAGGAGGTGGGAGGGGACTCTGCCTCCTCACTGATCCTCCACTCACATCCCAGGAACCCCAAGAGGCCCTGACCTGTCTGCAGTGTCCCTGGAATGGTGCAGAGGAGGCTCTAGGGCAGAGGCACCAGTCTGAAGCTCAGGCAAAGATGGGTAAGGTGGGCAGGCTAAGGGTCCCCCGTCAGCTGTCCTACTGGATTTTTCTGCCTATCCATGTGCTCGTCTGCTTCCCCCTCCCCCCCTTCCCATACCATCCTTAGTCTTGGCTCCAAATACAGGGAGCAGTTTACCAGGCCAAGCTGGAGCTGTCTTCTACACAGGCCCTGGACAGAGCCACTCAGGCCTCAGCTATTCCCATCCTGTTTCTACTCTATTTTATATAGTCACATGCTCCAGGACTGATCTCTATCTGATATGAAGTGAGGACCACAAAGGAAGCCATTTGCTTCCAACATTTTCCTTTTAGCAGTGCCTAACCCTTTCCTCTCCAAATAGGCCCTGAGGCTTCAGGCCCCTCTTTCCCTCCCATCCTTCAGCTCCTTCTCCCTTCCTCTTTCCTTCTTTCCCTTTCAGGATACTAGAAATACCCACAGGTGATGAAAAAGAGTATTTCTGACCCCAATTTTTCTTATCCATTCACCAACCCCCTCCCCCAGCAAATGTAGATTTCTTCAAGAAAAAAGAAAGAGAATTCCCAAGATCAGGGAGGGAAGTATTGCCAAGATCTGAGAGGAGAATGTCCCAGGACAGGGGAGAAGAAAATATGTAGCCTGTTCCTCCTAACCCTCAGCGTGCACATCCAGGTCTCTGGCTCCACAACACACAGATTCCAGAGAGATTAGTGGCACCCCAGGCCCTACCAAAGAAGCCTCCAGTCTGCTCTTCCTGCTTCCCACCCACCCAGGCAGCTCAGGCCCAGCTCCCAGTGGGGAGAGAGTGCAGAAATAACAAGTGGCTTTCTAAGGCCAGCTGTTTCCTAGGGCGGGGGTAGGGAGGGTGGCCAGGGTTTGGAATGCGCAGGATCTCCCTTTCCCCCAACAGCCAGATGGTCCCTCCTCAAACACTGGAAGCCCTAGGCGGGCACTGGGGACATCTGGGCATGTTTTCTTGTCCAGCTGAGCTCCTGACAGCGCCTATTGACCCAGTTGACGCTCAGCTCCCAGCACTGAGAGGCAGGAGCCTCTGTCCTCTGTCCCACAGAGTTGAGGTTGCAACAGGACCAGGGAGCTGTGGAGCCCACTGTCCTGCCTCTAACCTTGTGACTGCCAGGCATTGCCAGGCCCAGTGTGTGTGAGGCCTGGGGAGCTCACTGGCCTGAGTCCAGGGGTATAGCATTGCTAAGGCTGCCTTTGCCTCACTCAGCAAAATCTGCGTCTGCATTTCTTTAACTATGAATGTAGGTCTACCTGTGACATGGCTTTCTATGTCACAGGGTGTTTGGTTTTTCAAGTGTTGGCTTGATAGTATGAATCACTGTGACGATGGTGTGGAAGTGGCCATTGATATGCCTTATTCCTACTGCCCCAGCCTCATGATCAGGGCCATTTCCCTCTTAGGGAGGGCTGGAACAGCAACTTGGCCTTTGGGGAGAGTGCTTCCAGGTAACCTTCATGAAGACCTTATATCCTTTCCTATATCCCCAGTAGTAAAAAAAAAAAAAGGGGGGGGGCGATGACAGGCTGGGCCTAGAGACACCTGGGTCCCTTGGTCTATTCCAGAGGCTTTTTCCAGAGCAGGCCCTTGGGAAAATGGGAGGTCCAGGTCCAGGTGCTGTCCTTGGCTAAGTCTGGTATTAGGAGAATGGAGACAAGGGGGTGGAGCTCCTGGATGGACAGTTTTGAAAGCCTTCAAGGTAAGAAGTGGCAGGAATTCTCCACCTCTCAGATGAGATATATTTGACAAACATCTTAAGTTTCCTTTAGGCCTGTGCCACAGGAAAGCTCACTGGAGCCCACTCCCCACTTGCTCCAGGTCCAAGACTGACCCCCTGCTTCACAAGGGGCTTGACAACAGGACCTGACTGGAGGACATTAATTCAGTTCTTGGGAGAAGCCCTTCCCAGAACCCGAGTCCCATGCCCTTCCTGTAGGCAGTGTCCCATGTGGGCTTATTCCTCCAATGCCCTGTGTAAGAATTTCAGGCCCTTGTTCGCAGCCAGCTGGCCAGTGTGGCTATCACAAATAAACAACAAACATGATGGCTCTCTCCCTTATCTGTTGGTGAGCATCACCCAGCCTTTATTATTCTGTCTCCCAGCCAGTCTTCTCCATTCATCCCTTTCTTCCTTTCCCTAATTTTTTCTTACTAAAACTTTTCATCTGCTTTATTTCCAGAGAAAATTTGAATTGTACTTTTTCCCTACATTGAAAATAACATTTTATTGGACTTGTGCTATATACCAGGTCTACATACACTGCCTTATTAGAGTCTCACTGGGCATGTTCACCAATAGCCCACATGTGTAGTCTAAGCACTGGGCCAAGGAACAGAACCAAGAAAGGCTGCAGCAGCTCCCTCTGCTCACACTGCTCCACACTGGCCCCAAGGGCTAGGCTAAAAGCTTTAGCAGGATTTATTCTACCTTGGCTCCTCCTGTATCAGACCCATGGTAATAGGCCTGAGAATCACAAAGGGAAGAGACTGTTGGAAATTACCCCAGCCTGGGCATCTTTGGGGCATTAGGTAAGAGAAAAAAACCCTGAAAGATTCCCTTTTCCTAAAACCCAGCTTGCTGCTCCCTCACTGCTGGCCCAGAGCGAGGAGGAATGAGACGCCTAGGACACCGGCTAAACATAGAGGGTTCTGCCACCTGCCACTGAGCTGAGGCATGTAGAAGAGAGGGCCTGCCTGGGAATCCAGGCAGGCCACCTTTGTCCCACCCCACGCACTAGGTGGTTAGGAGGAATGGTGGCAGTCACCAAGGAACTCCTGGATCCCCAAAGACTAAAGGCAAAGGCAGATGTGCACACACATCACGTCCCCCTGGGACCATCCTAGTCAGCTTCCCCAGCCTTTTCTGGATAGGAGCAGGGTCATTTCACAAGCATAAGTATGAAAAATAATTTAATAGAGAAACAATGAACTATATATTCTTTACATACATCCAGTCTCCAGCAGGAGAGTGTTCCACTTTGTACTAAGGAGGAGTTAAGGGCAGAATGATTAGAACCCACCAATATTCTCTAACTTTAGAAATAACCCTGTGACAGACACACACACACAAAGAAGAAGAAGAAAAGAAAAAAGAAAGAAACTCTCATTACTTGTCATTTGCAGTTATTTGTGGCAAAACAGCTCCCCTGCTCCTTATTTAAAATCAACCTTCAACAAGAATTTGAACAAAAATTTAAAACAAGATTATCATTATGAGGGTGGTATTTAAAAAAGAAATCCTCCAATAACTCCAGATATATAGATTCTCCAGCTCACACAGGATGTAAGCTGTGGATGTATCCATAGCTTAATAGGACAGAAGGGAAGACCCAGGCCCAGCCCTAGCCCAGGGCTGACTATATGACTAGTATGGCATATCCCCCACACACACACACACATAAAGAGGGCTGAAAGTAGGAGGGATGAGGACCCTCCCCCATGCCAAGGCACGGACAGGCCTGGAATTTCACATGTGCCTCACCCTACAGAGGACGTGAGTTTCATGCATGAAGGATTGTTGAAGTGCTGAGAAGGACAGCAGGCGGGAGCTCCCAGAAGTCTGGGGAAGCTGCAGAACTGAGTGCATACTGTAGGGCAGGTAGTCCCTGAGGGGCACTGGAGTGTCCCATTCCAGTGCAAGGAGGGAGTAGGGTTGGAATACAGGCTTCCAGGGAGGATTGGCCCAGGTGCAGCAGCTGCCTGGCAGCAGGGAAATAGAAGTACGCTGAAGAGGCATGACTCCCTCTTTGCAGAGCAATACACACACTGGGATGATGTCCTGAAGCCAACAGACTTCGGGCAGCAGTCACCCAAGAACAAAGTCCTGAATTAAAGCAATTCTCCCAGAACTTATTACACCCGGCACAGTACATGGACCGGCAGCTGCTCCAGGGGTGGAGAACATTCAGAAGAATACTGGGAGCTAGGATGTAGGCATGTTGGAGGTATTCACCTAGGAAGGCCCCAGGTGCAGACGTGTTAACCGGCGTTGGTACGTAGCTTCCCTCTAGGCTTGTGTCCCATCCACTGGTTCTTCTGGTGTCACTGCAGTGTGCAAGCTAAGACAGGTAAAAGGGAAAGGTCAGGCTTGGCAGAGAGGCAGAACCTATAATCCTATGATGGGCTGGTGGATCCCCAGGGCAGGACTCACAGCTACGAACAGACTCCGACAGCCCCTCTTTGTCCAGAGTGTCTGCTTCCCAGTGAGATTCCCTTATCTGTGGGACATGAAGCAGGGAAGGGGTAAGACAGCGGTAGCAAGACTTGGAAGCCACAGCACATACACAACCACAGAGAGCAGGAACCCATAACCCATCGCCCAGTGTGGCCCACTCATGCCCACCTTGATCTGCTCTTTCAAGTATTCTGCTCGAGCCATTAGGGTCTGAACCTGCCAGGAGAAAACATGCCCAGAGGTGTTCAAATTGAGGGCCTCCTCACCCGCAATGCTCCCTAGAACCCTCTGCCTCATTAGAATGGCCTTGTCTCTGATCCTCTATTTGTTCCCTCCTTCAGGAAGCCTTCCCTGCTGCAGGGGGCCACAGACTTTTGGTTTATCCAGGCACTGAAGTCCTGGGCCCCTGACCTCACAGTTCTGAGGCCTGGCCTTGGGTCTTGAAACACCCAAGGGCAAAGGAACTCCATATGCAATCTACAGAGGTCCCACAGACCTAAGCTGAGTGAAAGGAGAGGAAAGAGTACTTCCTGACTCCCAAACCCACGGAGTACCTCAGTGTGAAGAAGCTCCCGCCTTCGGCCTGGGGCCTCTGCTGTAAATAGAGGGAAGGTGGTGAATACCGGGTAGCCAGAGGCAAGGGCAAGAGCAGTGTTGGGCCTTACCTGCCAAGAGCAGTAGCAGCTCTCCGAGGCTGTGCTGGTACAGGTCCAGGGCATCTTGCTCCTTGCCAGCTTCCTCCTCCTACAGCCAGAGGGGTAACACATCGTTCCATGTTGTGACTTGGTTTCCCTCCTGTCCCACCTGGACTCCTCCCAGTGAGCACAAACCTTGGCCATAGCAGCTGAGGCCACTTCCAGGGCAGCTAGGAGGCGTGGCTTGTCCCGGGCCATCTCTGAGGTGAGAGGATGGGCTCCCAGTGAGGGAGAGGCCTGTTGTTTTTGCCCAGGAAGCCCCCCCCCTCAAGTCTCCCAGTCAAGATGGAGCGAGACTCATGCACAGAGCAGGAACTGAAGCCTACCCCGCAGCAGCTCCTGGACAGACGTGCCCTGACTTAGCAGAGCCTGATTGGAGGAAGAGACAATGGCTTTGAGCTCCTCTGCCCGGGACACATACTGCCCCACCTGTAAAAGAAAGAGAGGCTCAGGGCTGACATCAAACAAGCTGGCCTGACCCACCCTCTTCCCCCAGCCCTATCCTATGAGAGAGGAGGTTCCAAATCTAAGACTGCCATTCGTCAGAGGGGCTTGTGACCTCTGGGTCCTCTCCTTTCATGTCCAGCCATTTCCTCTTGGCGAGATCACCCACCTTTGCCTTAATTGTCTCTTTCCTCTGGGCATCCACTTCATCTGCAGAAGGTGAAGGGGTTCATATGAGGAATCTGCATTGGAACCCCTCCCCCACAGTGAGTCCTCTGCAGTCCTCAGAAACCAAGTTCCAGGCTGATCTTCTGCATTGTCTCCCCTAAGCTCTGAATCGGGAGCCTGACCTCCCTCCCGCCCCACGTTACAGGAATGGTGGGGCCTCACAGTGCAGGGCAGGCACAAAGAAGTCCAGAGCCTTGCAGTAGAGTGACAGGGCTGCAGCAGCGTCCCCCTCCTGGTCCTTCTTCACAGCCTCCACTACAAGGGCTGTCTGGGGGATGGGAGGATCAGCAGTCAGACCTACCTTCCTAATGCCACAGCAACCAGCATCAGCCAGCAACTGGTCCCCACCCCCACCAACTCCCTTATGGCCAGCTGTTCTGCTTCTGTGGGCCAGTCACCTGTTCACCAGTGTGGACAAATGAGACCCAGCCCACCTGGGTCTCCACTGGTTTGCTTACTGCTTGCGCCAGGCTCTCCCCACTGGGCATGTGCTCCAGGTCCACCCAAGGGTGGGCAAAGAAGTCCTGGAAGGAGATTCGCCGGCTTGGGTCCCGCTCTAGAAGTCGCTGCAGAAGGTCACGGCAGTGTAGGGAGAGTTGGGGCCGAAGGGGGAGCTGCAGAGGAGCAGAGCAGGGGCACATCACACTGGGCTCCAACATCTGAGCCTAAGGCCTGTTGGGAACCTCCACATGGGGCACATGTTTGCAGGAGGGTAATCTGAGCCCTGGGAGGAACATGGCAGGTCCAGCTGATGTGCAGGAAGAATGCCAAGCACCCTTTACCAGGTTCCTATCAAATGGGGATCTGCTTCCAGCCCTGCACTGTGGGACAGTAGGGCCTGGCACAGTCCCCAGGAGGTCATTTGGTGCCCATTGTGGCTGATTTGGATCCTCAGGAATGGATCAGACCCTAGGCTTCTACTGCAGAGCATGCCACACTGCCTTGAAAGGCCTGGGGGCCTACCCTCCAGTCTATAGCAGTGGAATACAAACCACTGGGCCTTGAATCCCTCAATTCCCCAGTGGGTGCCAAGACCCTGCCAGACGCACCTCAATAACCCGATTGCTGCGAATCTTTTCTTCTAGCTCTGAGAACGATCTGGAGGCAAAGGGGGGCTGCCCAAACAGGGCTTCTGTGGAAGAAGGCAGAGGGGAGGCCGGAAGGGAACAGGGTTAGGTCTTTCCTAGCTCACCCCTGGGAAGGAGACCAAAATCCTTCAGAATAGAGCTCTGGGTCCCTCAATTCTCACTAGAACCCAGGAGGGGCCCAGAGAAGCCCTGCCCAAAGGCAGAGTAATTCTCGGGTGGACAGCAAGGGAACAGAGGTCTCACCATACAGGATGACCCCCACAGACCAGAGGTCCACACGCGCGTCATACTGCCGCTGGCACACCATCTCAGGAGCCATATAGAGTGGGGAGCCACGAAGCACATGTTTCTCATCCCATGGGGACATGTGCTGGGCAAAGCCAAAGTCTGCAGGCAAGAGGCCAGGCACAGGGTTCAAATCCCAGCTGCTCTTGTGACTCCAGTCAGAGCTCCTCCCGGCCCACAGCACTCCTCCTCTATTTCCCTCTGAGGCGGCAATCCTCAGCATGGCACACCACCTCTTAATCGCCTTCTTCTTAAGCCCATCTCAAATGTAAACTGCACAGAAAGCCTCAACCCCCGCCCCACCTCTGCACTAAGCTATGTCATGTTCTTTGGCCTCCAAACTCAAGTCTATTTTTCCTCAAATCTTATCAGAGGCCACACCATCCTTCCACTGCCACAAGTTCTCCTCAGTTGTCCAGACTGAGCCCTAATCCTAATGACAGATTAAGTCGGGTCCCAGCTCACAGACTGATCCTGAATGCTGGTCACACACTGACACTATTTACAGTCAGCCCCAACTCTGACCCTGGGTGATCCCTGGCTCCACCCACAACACTGAAGGACTTGACTCGTGGGCAGTCTGAGAATGGGTGCTACCTTTTGGTGGTCCGCTCAGCCCTGTGTCTCCAGACCTGTCTGTCACTAGTGGTTTAGAGGGATGCCTGGGAACCTGGCTGGGCTGCTGAAATTGCACAGCAAGGGAGCTCACTGTTTCCCCATCCTGCTGTTCCAGACCCAGACCTGCCAGTTTCAGGTGGGGCTTCTCCAAAGAGCTCAGCAGGATGTTCTGTGGCTTCAGATCCAGGTGAGAGATGTTTCGTTCATGCAGAAACTGCAGGGCACTAGCTGGGGAGCCAGCACCATGAAAATAAGTCAGAGCCTCTTCCCCACCTGTCTCTGCCCACCCCAGCTAGCTGCTGTCCTCTCCCAGCTGTAAGACTGCAGGGCTGGCTGTTTTACAGAGTACACAGTGGCACCAGACTCTGGGCATTTCTAAGAGGTGCCTGCTAGAGCACCCTTCCTAAGATCCCCACCCTTTCAAGGAGCCTCCGGAGAAGCCCAAGCCCTTTAGGACTTCGCATTCTTCCTCACTACAGCACTTGGGTCCCACCTACTGGGCCCTGGAAGATTCTACAAGGTTCTTAACACCATGTTCCACATGTAGAAGCCTCAACTCCCCACACATGCTAGGGACACAAACACGGGAAGCCGCAAAGCACTGGGGTGGGGAAGAAGAGCACATGGGGTGTGTCACAGGCTTTTACCCAGCTGCTGCATGAAAACACGAGCCACCTTCTCAGGCAGGATCCTGCGAGCATGGATGAAGCGAGACAGGTCACCCCCGGCGCAGAACTCCATGATGAGGTAGATATTGTCACTGTCCCACTGTGGTGGAAGTAAAGAGGCAGCTGTGGGCAGCGCCCCTTCTCCAGCCTCCTCTGGAGGGCGCCCCGCCCCAGGCTCACACCTGGAAGTCTTTCAGCTGCACGATATGGGGGTGTCGAATGCCCTTAAGGATCTCAATCTCAGTCAGGAGGTTTTCCACCGAGGCCTTGTTGAGACTTTTCTTGGCCACGCATTTTATGGCTACCACTTCCCGAGTATCCTTCTGTGGAACAAAAAACTTGGGGTCCCTGTCTTGAAGGGGTCGGCCCGTGAGCTGGAGGGGCCTCTGGTTCCCTTTGCAACCTTTCCCCTGTCTGGGTCTATCCACTCTCCACAGGCCTCCAAGTTTCCCAGCTTCCCCTTCTCAAATCAATGAGGCTTCCCAACCCAGCAAGTGTTGTCCAACTCCCTGCTTCCAACCCTGGCAATTCTTTCCAGAGTGGCCGGTGCCGGGGGTGGGGGTGGGGGAACTACCACTGTTCTAAGAGCTGGCCACTCTGCGTTCCAGTTGGTACTACCTCCTGGGAATCTGATCCCAGACTCCTCCCAGCCCCTCAGGCGACTTCCGTGCAGAGCCGGTTTTTCAGCCACTGACACCGAGGCTTCCTTAGGTCTTCGCCCGCCCCTCCAGACCAAACTGGCATGTGTTTGTTTTTAAGACCTAAGAGGGGCGGTTAGCGCCAGCCTCCTCCACCCGCCTGAGGCCAGGCAGCCGCTGGCCAACTACTTTCAAAGCGGTCGCCTGTGTCCTGCTCCTCCCGGTCACCCAGCCGGGCTTGCTGGGGGTTGGCTGACACACAAGGGTGCCCGGCGCCGGGACACCTCGGGCACGACCCGCCCACACCCACCTTGGCGTAGGCCTTGTACACCGTGGCGTACGTGCCACTGCCCAGGCGCTCGGTAAGGATGAAACCGTCCAGCCGAGGGAGACCCCAGCCGGTCCCAGCCATCCCGCGCCCGCCGCCAAGTGCTTCCTGGTTCGGGGCGCAGGTTCCGGCCAGAAGCGAAGCTGGGGGCGCTTGAGGGGCGGCGGGGCGGGACTCCGCACGCCCCAGCGCAGCCCGCCGGAAGCACGGCTCGACACCTCCCCTCCGAAGCTCCTCCCCTCCTGCCGTGGGCTGGGTGACACCCTCTGCCGTGCACTGCCAGGCGGGTTTTCAGACGGAGGCCTGGGGCGTGTAGAAGTGGGTCGAGGACTGCGGACACGTTCGCCTGGGAAAGCCCCACTCAGTGTATGCCGCCTCCTAGAGACCACCCACTTAGGGGGCGGGAGGAAGAGTGCGGCCTTCTCCCCGCCCTCCAAGACCAGAAGAGCGGGACACGTAAATCCCGGGACCCCAAAGGGTGAAATGGGAGAACAGACTCCAGCAAGTTGTCTGATCACCACACACGCTCTGGCATTTGCGTATGTATGTATGTATGTATGTATGTATGTATGTATGTATGTATGTATGTATTTTGTTTCAGATTTTTTTTTAATTTTTATTAATTACAGTTTATTCACTCTGTATCCCCCCCACCTGTAGCTCCCTTCCCTCCTCCCCTCCCAATTCCGCCCTCTCTCCCTCTTTTCCACCCATGCCCCTCCCCCCAGTCCACTGATAGGGGAGGTCTTCCTCCCCTTCCTTCTGATCCCAGCCTATCAGGTCTCATCACGACTGGCTGCATTGTTTTCCTCGGTGGCCTGGTAAGGCTGCTCCCCGCCCCAGGGGAAGGTGATCAAAGAGCCAGCCCCTGAGTTCATGTCACAGACAGTCCCTGTTCCCCTTACTAGGAAACCCACTTGGACACCGAGTTGCCATGGGCTATATCTGTGTAGGGGTTCTACATTATCTCCATGAATGGTTCTTGGTTGAAGTATCAGTCCCAGAAAAGACCCCTGTGCCCAGATACTTTGGTTCTGTCGCTGTCCTTGTGGAGCTACTGTCCTCTCCAGGTCTTACTATTTCCCACTTCTTTCATAAGATTCCCTGCACTCTGCCCAAAGTTTGGCTACGCTTATTTATTTATTTAGCCATTCATTCATTTTGTTTGTTTTTTGGTTTTTCAAGACAGGGTTTCTCTGTTTAGCTCTGGCTGTCCTGGAATTTACTTTGTACACCAGGCTGACCTCAAACTCAAGAGGTTGGACTGCCTCTGCATTCTGAGTGCTGGGACTAATGGTGTGCATATCATGCCTGGCTGAGAGAGAGAGAGAGAGAGAGAGAGAGAGAGAGAGTTTTAAATGCCTTTGGAAGAGGCCACTGTCAGGGTCCTCCCTTCTACTTTTCACTCTTGGAAGGGGTTCCTCCCTAGAGCTGAGTGGTTGATGCTATCACAGTCCAGCCACCAAGGACCTTAACTGTCACCTCACTTATCAGGCCCTCAGCCTGTACTTTGGTAGGCCATAGCCTCCCAAGTCCACCAGAGACACCAGGACCAGTGCTGTCCAAAAATCTTTTTATTTAAGCACAAAAATTGAGACATGACATATACATTTGTACATGGAGGAAAATAATACCAGAAAGTTTACAAAACCCTGGCGGCTGTCATTACCATTCAGTGGCTCTAGGGCTAAATGGGCTGACAGCATGAGCATAGCCTCAGGAGGGCTCCAGTTCCCAGAGGCAGGAAGCTGGCCAGCTTGCTGAGCTCCTGCACTGACACAACACAGAGTCAGGATTTCAACAGTGGCTTCCTGAATGCCACCTGCAGAGACAACCTGTAGAGACCCATGACAAGTGGAAAGGGAGCTAGACTCTGCTGAGGGTTGGGAAGAACCCTCAGAAAGATGGCTCAGCGGTCCTGCCTGCAGGACAGTTCAGGACTAATTTCTTCCAACCACCCTAAGAGTTGTTAAAGGTAAGGATTGCTGAAGATGCGCAGGCCTAAGGCTAAGGCAGAAGGGCAGAGTCCCTCAGGAGGAGAGAAACGAAAATGAACAGGTCAGCCAACACCTACCCTCTCAGAAGCCTGGCAGAGGCTGGGCAGGACAACTTGAATGACTGTCTTCCATGATTCCACATCCCCAAGTCCCAACCAACTCCATTCACTATACATTCAGGAGTCTGAAGAGAAGGGCTAGGGAGGGTCCCCAGAGGGTACAAGGTACTGTTACAACACAGGGCAGAGCAGATGTTATGACTCTACTGTGAAGAAAACCTGGAGAACATCTGTGCACCCACCCAGAACACAGCTCAACTAAAGTAGAGCCCTTGGAGGCTTCAGAAGCCTAAGGATGAAAGGCAAGGCTGTGGAAGCCCCAGTACAGGTTAAGCCGGCAGGGGAGGAGTGGGATCCAGGGGGCCTGTGGAAAACTCCTGGTGCAATGATCCTGGTACAGTGATCCCCACACAGGCCAACGATCCTGTGCGTGGTTCATGGACACTTGTGCACATGAGTGCACTTGTTCTCATGGGAAGCAGTCCCACTGCACCCAGACAGAACCCTCCCAAACCACCATTAGAAAAGGAAAGACAGCTTTGTTAATTTTTCTTTTCCCTTGTGTTAAAAAAAATAGAAGTCCATGTCCCTTCCCCCCCTTCCCTCATGTGGAAGGGGCAGCTAACTACTGAGAAAAGAGCAGGGACAAGACGAAATCCCTGCCAGGTCTGTGCTGGGCGTAAGCACTGCATAAGGCACCATGGAAAGTGCAGCTCAGAAGGCAGGTGACGAAAGAGGCTGGGGCTGAGGGAAGGAGAGTCAGGAAGACTAGTTCCCCTGGAAGGCTCCTCGGGCGGCAGATGAGGCAGCACTGCGGAAGGTTCTGTTGCTGAAGATGCCCTGGGAAAACTCTTCCTGAGCCTGCTGGAAGCTGGCTCCTGTTCGGCGGTAGAAAGCATGTACCTAGGGAACAAGGCTGGGGTGAGAAGAGCCCAGGGCAATCCTGGCCATCAGGGTATGCTCCCAAAAGGGCTCCTGAGGGTTCAACTCCGTCTGCCTGCTCACCCAGGGCCTCAGACAAAGGTGTTCGGCTTCTGAGGGCTTCACGGGACAAGGACTATTTAGATGTGCACCCAGAAGAGATGGACCTTTTACTTGTGTTTGCTGTTAACTCATGCCCTACTTACCCGCTGCAAGAGGAAGAGCGAGAGCCCAGCACAGAGTGTAAAGAAGCCAGCCACTACCATCATGATGATGGTCACAGGTAAGGGCCCATTTTTCAGCGTGGCCAGGGCTGCGAGCCAACCACTACAAAAGGAGAAAGCAGAGGTGAGGTAAGAGTGAGACCCAGATGTCCCTAAGAGGAGCACTTCTCCCAAATGGCTATGTCCTGACCACCACCTGGCATTTCCCTGTAGTACAGGGTGCCTTGTGGTTCAATGATCTTCCTCTGTGAGAGACCAGGCTGTGATCCCTGATGGGCCCACATGGGCTCCAACATGACCTCTCTTGAGGTGTCAGAGGTGGTGTCACATGGAAATCTTCTGGCCCAGTGAGATCCAGAAAGGAGATGTGGCAACTGTCTTGTCAGGAGCAGCCCAAGGCTCAGTGCATGCTGCCAAATGAGGGTGGGGACAGTGGTCTGCACAGAGGACTCTGGGGGAGGGGCACTGCTCCGCCCTGTTGCCTTCACCCTGTCACCTCAGCCTCCCCTATCAGGACCTCTGCCTTTAGTGGTTATGTTACCCCAGAACCTCAGTCCTTATCTGTAAAGGGATTATTCTCAGGCTGCCTGACTTCAAAACTTACAACAAAGCTATAACAATCAAAACAGTGTGAGAATAGCATGAAGAGCAAAGTCATAGACTTCAGAGTCCAGATCTTCCTATTTTTAAAATTATTAATTTTTTTTCTGTGCATTGTTGTGTCTATGGAAGGATGTCAGATCCACTAGAGCTAGAGACAGTTGTGAGCTGCCATGTGGGTGTTGACAATTGACTCTGGGTCTTCTGGTAGAGCAGCCAGTGCTCTTGACTGCTTAGCCATCTCTCCAGGACCCCCAATCTACCTTTTTTTGTTAGGTCCTAAAACCAAATGGGACAGTGAGATGGTTCAGCAGGTACAGGTACTTGATGCCAAGCCTGACAGTTTGAATTTGATATTCAGGACCCACATGGTAGAAGGGAAGAACTTATCCTTGGACCTTGCATACATGTCCTAGCATGTATGTCCTCAACCCCCTGATAAATAAAGGAATAAAGAAAAGTTTTAACACCCCAAAGGGAAAACTTGTAGTTTCCTTACAAATGAAACTGGGACAACTGATCCTTACTTCAATCATATATAAAAATTAACTCAAAATAGGGCAAAGATTTAATTGTAAGAACTGAGACTATAAAACTTTTTTAAAAGCTGGGCACACACCTTTAGGCCCCAGTATTTAGGAGTCAGAGGTAGGAGAAAATAAGTTCTAGGACAGCCTGGTCTACAAAATAACTAAAACAAGAAGGACCACAGAAAGACCCTGTCTCAAAAAGCAAACAAACTCTTAGAAGAAAAATGGAAGTAACTTTCATGACCTTGAATTTGCTGGTGGTTTAAGTGTGACACCAAACACACAAGCAACAAAAGAAAACTGGAGCACCAAAGAAAGCTGGCTCAACAGGTAAAGGGGTTTGCCACTATGCTGACAATCTGAGTTTGATCCTCAGAACCCACATGGTGGAAGGAGAGAACTGCCTCTCACGTGAGAGTCCATGCATGCTGTACATGCACACTAAATCAAGGTAATTTTAAAACCTTTTGTGTCTTAAAGCTGGATGCTATGGCTGTAATCTTAGCAATTGGGAGGCAGAGAGGCAGGAAGACCAGCAGTTAAAGGCGAGCCTTGTTTCAAAAACAAAAAAAAAAAAAAATGTATGGGAGAGTTCAGTTCTTGCAGCATAAGCATAAGGACGTGAATTCAGAACCCATACACAAAAGCCGGTGCTTATAATCCTAGTTAGCACCGGAAGGGCAGAGGCAGGCAGATCCCTGAAATTTGCTGGTTAAATAGCTTTTTCAGCAAACTCAAGCTAACGAGAGGCCCTTCATTAATAAAAAGAAAGTAGAGCCACGTGGTGCCGGCGCACGCCTTTAGTCCCGGCAGAGGCAGAGGCAGAGGCAGAGGCAGGTGGATCTCTGAGTTTGAGGTTAGCCTGG